AACATTTATTTTTGAGACAGAGAGAGACAGAGAAAGAAAGGGGGAGGGTCAGAGAGAGGAGACACAGAATCTGAAACAGGCTCCAGGCTCTGAGCTGTCAGCACAGAGCCCAACGCAGGGCTCGAACTCACAGACTGCGAGATCATGACCTGAGCCAAAGTCAGACGCTCAACCGACTGAGCCACCCAGGAGCTCCTCTAATTTGTTTTTAATTCATTAAAAGTTTAGTAAATAATATACCTAACAAGGGGAAGATATGCATCTGGGACATAAATGAAATAAAGTTTTGAAAAAGAAACAATCAGGTTTCATCACACATAAAGATTTCCCTTTTAATTTCACAGCGTGTGTTTTAATTACCATTTAGAAAAATAAAAGCTATGTAAACATTAGCCAGTGGAAAAACCTGCTCCCGTGTGTTAGGTAGGAACGGAAGCAAGTGTCCTCACCACTGGACGAGACATGATAGTCAAACATGGTGTCATCGGTCCCCGCTAGAGGCGGCAAATCCAAGGTCAGCGTTTCCTGAGAACGCAGCCAGTGCTCCACCCGACGTCGGCCCTCCAATTCCAGCACGGCCCCGACGCTCCACATGAGGGAGAAGACATACAGTCTCCCCAGGTGCTCTGGCGTGACCTCCGCACCTTGCTCCTGGGCACGGAAGAAACTTTTTGTTTTAGTCACTCAATTCTCAAGCCTAAATTTTGCTTTGAGGTTTCAATAAAAATAATAAAAAATGTCAAAGGGACAATACCTTTTCCCAAGACAAGAACAAGGAAAAGATGAGTAAAACTGGAAACATACAGAATTTATCTCAATACCAAGTCAGCGCCCAAAATAAATCTGGATGTTTATTAGATGACTGTGAACTTGCCACTAAATTACAAACCCGTGACTTACTTGGGGAGAAAAGTAATGAGAAAAATAAAAAAGATGCAGGGGGACGTTTGAAACATCCCCCCATCCATAGCTCTAAGAGAGCCAGTTTCAAAGACTATACTCTCTGCACAACATGGCTCAGTTAATAAGAGAGAAATTTCTAGAAAGTTGAGCAATTTACCTTTGGAGGGATCAGCCCTTGAAGCATGTCAATGCTCTGCATGATCACAAAGGCCTCAGGTATCTCCATCTTGTGTTCTAAGTTCTGAATACTGAAGCGATACAGGTCGGGAAAAGACTTGATGTACAGCTGACGAAGAATTTCAGCTTCTTGGGGTGAGCGCTTCTTAAGGAAACCCTGTTAATTTACATATTAATGCACTAATAAATGTATTAGCATGCCAGGAGAATGGCCATTTTGGGACAAAAATTTTTTAAATATCAATGGACTATAATAACATCTAGTGATAATACTGCAGATGGGATGTGCCAGGGCCTTGCTATACATTCTTTCATGCGTTAACTCATTTAATGCTCAAAATAATGCTATGAGGTAGGAGCTATTATTATCCTCCTTTTACAGATGAGAAAACCAAAGTCCAGGGGCCTCTGGGTGGCTCAGTCAGTTGAGCGTCCAACTTCGGCTCAGGTCACGATCTCACGGCTCGTGAGTTCGAACCCCGCGTTGAGCCTGCTTCGGGTTCTGTGTCTCCCTCTCTCTCTGCCCCTCCTCCACTCGTGTTCTGTCTCTCTCTGTCTCTCAAAAATGAATAAACATTTAAAAAATATTAAAAAAAAAAAAAGAAAGAAAGAAAACTGAAGCCCAAAGAGTTTAAGTGATGTGCCCAGGATCCCACAGCCAGTGGGTAGCCAGGTGAGTGCCAAGTCCAGAATTCAAACCCACATGTTCTGTTACCACCCTACACATGTGCTCAGGTCTTGAAACCAAAATGGACAAAAAGTCTTCAGCTCTTGATTAAAATACACTAGAAGACAATGAGGAGGCATACATAAGAGAAATAATTCAGGAAAAGAAAAAGGACTAAAAGATGAACACAGCAAATCCATACCTACATTTTCTTAAGTGGGAAACAAAGATTTATCAAATTAGCTGTTTCCTTTTATTTCTTCTGATGTAACTAATAACCAGTGTGGAAAAATATCAAAGAATACTCAGGAAAATGGAGAATTGAGTCACTTGGAGAGCCCACTGTAGAAAAGTGCATGTGATCCCTAACAAAATACCATGTAACACACAATATTCTCTGAAGCTGAGACAAGTTCCCTTGGCCTCAAGAGATCAGCTCATTCTCAGACACTGAACAGAAGCAATAAAATGTTGATTCCAAATTATTCATCAATTCATGAATTTACCAGGGTTCCACAGCAACAAAAACAGAACATAGCACTTTCAAGTTGATGGAAGCAGAAAGGTCATACACAAGGCCAAGAAATCAGCTTGGCTCCCAGGAGCTGACAGATTCCTATGAACAAAACTTCTCCACCTGCCTGCCTCTAATAACTCCCTGGAGCTGCCTGATACTGCTCTAAACACTTTCAGTCCGATTCTTTGTGAGTCTTGCTTCTTGCTAATCATTTGTGAGAAGAAACTGCACTATTGAAAAGCATTATAAAAAATTAGGTAAGTGCAGCATTAAGACCTTATTCAGCCTCAACACAGAACATAATAGAAGCTTATTTCATAAAAAGCAAAGTCTAAATATTCATTAGCTAGTGGTGTAAAAGTATTTTTTAAAAGCCTTCGTGGATGCGAAGTATTGGGGGAAAATCACACAAAGACTTTTTTTCACTTGGAGCTTGCTGCCGTATCTGTGGTTGCCAAATCTGAAGCTACTGCAGTGCTTTTAAAAACAAAAACAAAAACAAAAACCAACTCCTGGACCTCTGTCCCCAGAGGTTCTAATCTGGTAGGACTGGGGTATGACCCAATCACCTGTATTTTAAAGAACCGTCAATTAAGCGTCCGACTTCAGCCAGGTCACGATCTCGCGGTCCGTGAGTTCGAGCCCCGCGTCGGGCTCTGGGCTGATGGCTCAGAGCCTGGAGCCTGTTTCCGATTCTGTGTCTCCCTCTCTCTCTGCCCCTCCCCCGTTCATGCTCTGTCTCTGTCTGTCCCAAAAATAAATAAACGTTGAAAAAAAAAAAAAAATTTAAAGAACCGTCATTGATGACTATTTTTGCAAAGCCAGGGTTCAGAACCCTTGCTCTGTATTCTCCTTAATGGATGGATAATTTGATTGCAAAATCTGAAATCTTTAGAAGCATGTTTAGTGACACATCCAATTATACGTAAGCAACATTTTGCTATGTAATCGCCCCCTTTTTCACATCTTGACACTTCACCAAACCTAAACCCTTGTGCAAGCCAGAGTTCTGTAAATCCTGAGATATTATTAAAAGCTAAGACATATTGATACAGAAAGGCAAGTACAAAAATTTAATGATGATGTAAAATAAACACCTACTTCATTTAAATTATGATTTTATAAGTTTTCAATCAAAATCATTTCTAAAAACTTAGGTAAATAAAATAATAAATTTAACTAACAATGTCAAAAAGAGGTTTCACACGTGGCTACTCTAATAAACATTCTGCCCAGGGCGCCTGGGTGGCTCTGTCAGTTAAGTGTCCAACTTTGGCTTAGGTCATGGTCTCACAGTTCATGAGTTCAAGCCCCACATCAGGCTCTGTGCTGACAGCTCAGAGCCTGAAGCCTGCTTCTCTCTCTGCCCCTCCCCCATTCATGCTCTATCTGTCTCTCTCTCCCTCTCTCTCTCTCTCTCAAAAATAAACATTAAAAAAATTAATAAGCATTCTGCCCTACATTATAGTATTTATTTAGTAAAATATCTAAGTATACAAGGCATTTAATTATAATCTAATTATAATCAATACACTCTAGAATGTACCGGTGATAAGAAAATAATATAGCTTTCCATGAATTGAAGAGACATTGTCTGAAATATTATTTCCAAGAACAAACTTAAAACAAATATTATGGCTATTGAATCTCATCAAAATTCCTTATATACAATTTTAATAAATTGTTTTCTCCAAGCTAATGTTTCTAAGATGGGCGCTCCCAAACTTTACAGGCATGAGTACCTTTTAAAAATGTCATGAATTCCCAAAGTGATAAAATTAAATCTCACTTATTCACAGTTTGGCGGGATTACTGATTCAGCTAGGCCTTGCCATTACTCCACAACCCACAGTGGACATCACATCACCGGTCTAAGGAGATGCAAAGAGCCCAGAAGAAATCAATCAGAACACCGAGGGCACCTGGAAGGGACAATCAGGGTTTCGATGTCCCGAAGGATACAAGATCTGCCAGAAACAGTAGCAACGAAATGCAATCACACCGCAGGTCTGCAGAAAAATCAGCATGCGCTGTACCAGAACACGAAAAGATCCATTTTCCTCTTTGGGTCCACAAAAGAAAGACTCCATGCTGATTCAAAGGGGCACGTGCACCCCAGTGTTTATGGCAGCACTTTCAACAACAGCCAAATGATGGAAAGAGGCTAAAAGTCCATCAACTGATGAATGGATAAAGAAGATGTGGTTTATATATATATACAATGGAGTACTACCTGGCAGTCAAAAAGAATGAAACCTTACCATTCATAACAACGTAGACGGAGCTAGAATGTATTATGCCAAGTGAAATAAGTCAGTCGGAGAGAGACAGATACCATATGTTTTCACTCATATGTGGATCTTGAGAAAGGTAACAGAAGACCATGGGGGAAGAGATGGGGAGAAAAATAGTTACAAATAGAGAGGGAAGAGGCAAACCATAAGACACTCTGAAATAAACAGAACAAACTGAGGGTGGATGGGGAGTGGTGGGGGAGAGGGCAAAATGGGTGACGGGCACTGAGGAGGGCACTTGTTGGATGAGCACTGGGTGTTGTATGTAAGCAATGAACCATGGGAATCTACCCCAAAAACCAAGAGCACACTTTACACACTGTATGCTAGCTAATTTGACAATAAATTATATTAAAAGAAAAAAAAAAAGCTGGACATGAAAAAAAAATTAAATTAAATTAAATTAAATTAAATTAAATTAAATTAAAAAAAATGAAGACTCCACTATACCTCAAGGATAGGACTCCAATCGAGGACAGAAGAACTCATGAAAACCATTCCATTTCTTGACACCGTAGCAGGTGAAGCGTTGTCAATGTTATGAGGTTCAAAAATGATCTTACAGTTTGGAGCCATGGGAATCCGATCACCATTGGCAAGGGTTAGAGTTTTGTTATCATCCAAAACAGAATTCAGATTTTCAATCCAGATGGCATCTACTGGACCATCAAGAACTATCCAGATATGCTCCCCTAGAATAGCCCACGAAAGGTGGGGGGGGGGGAAATACACACACACATATATACATATACACATAACTAGTATACTTGAAGAAGTACTATAATTTGATGTAATTTTCATTAATATTTAAATAAAACTTTGATAGAAATGATTATCGTATTTTGTCACATAGGACTTTTCCAGTTCTATCTATAGACATTGTTTAAAGCACATAACCAAAGGAAAAAAGTTATTTGTTCGTTGAACAAATATTCATTGAGCACCTTCTATGTATCAGCACTATTCTAGGGTCTGGGGACATTACGGTAAAAATAAGACACTGTCCTGTCTTCACAGAGCTTACATTCTAAGGGGTAGAGATGATAATGAAACCAATAAGCAAATAACATGTACGATAAGAACAATCAGGAAGAAAAGAGGGTGGGGCATTTTGATAAGGTAATCAATAAAATATTTCAGGAGAATGAAGTGATATAGGGATCTAGAGGCAGAATTTTCCAGGCAGTAAGAATACCAAGTGCAAAGGTCTCAAAGTGAGTACAAATTGAGGCTGTTCTAGAAAGCAAGAGTTGGAGAAGAGAAAAGGGAATGTGAGTGCCATCAGAAGGACAGGCAGAACCACAGAACTGATTCTGGCTGGTACATGTCACATTTGAGATGTCCCACACACCTCCCACAACGTTGTTGAGCTGGGGATTCAAGGGAGAGGTCAGGGCTGAAGATTAGAATGTAGAAGCCATTGGCTTAGAGATGGCACTTAAAACCATGGACTGGGTATGTTTCTTCTAGGGAGTACAAGTAGACAGAGGCAGGAGGTCTGAGCACAGAGCCACTTCAAAGTTCAGACTTCTGGTACAGTCTCCTTTGCAGACTCCTCCCTCTGACAGACCCCTCATGAGGCAGAAGTAGAAGGACAGCAAGCAGGTTAAGTTTCCCTGATGTCAAGTGACAGAAGAGGTCCAAGAAGGGGAGTGATCAACCATGCCAGGTTCTGTGCAAACCGGACTAGCCTGAGAACCGACAATTTGTATCTGACAAGCTGGAGGCCATGAGCCCCTTGGAGGGGCTACGGGGGACAAAACTGATGGGAATCACTTAAGGAGATATTTGGAAGTAAAAAAAAAAAGTGACAAGCATCAGCAGAATGGTCAACGGAATGCCATCGTAAATTTCGGTATCTGGTTTAATAATTCCTCCTAATTTCTTAATCTCTAGTTTCTCTATTGACACCATGACCAACTTTGGAACTCTAATCTTTATTTACTGTGCCACAGCTGTAAAATATTATGTGTCAAATAAAATGCTTTTAAAAATTTTAATTATGCTCAGTCGACTGAATTTAAGTAAAATGATGATCTAAACACCCGAGTCACTTAGAAAAGGTATGTTGCCTTCTTTAAAGAGGGAAAAAAACCACTGCTTTGAGCTCGCATTCTTTGAGGTAGCACTGGGCACTGCATATGTGTTTACATAGGATTACTGGAACAAGACAGAGACAAACTTTCATTTATTTCCAGTAAAACAACAATGTCTAATATGAGCACACTTTAGAAATTATACATGTTCATGCCTCTTTTGACAACTGATGTTAGGTTGCTGAGCTCCGTTCCCTAAATGAGTGGCGCCACCTTAAACATTTCTCAGTAGACAGTGTTCCAAAGACAAGACTCATGAAGAAATGTCCCCAGTATCTTTTCCTTCCCCTGCATCCTTCCTTCTCCCCGCAAGTGCATTCACTATGCCTTTCTCCCACTTACTCGAGAGTGAGAAAACACGAGGAGAGGAGAGTTGATATCACCTCTTCCATCTGAGCCTGTATCCCAGGAACATTGGGTTCAATTTAGAGACTCCAAAAGTAAGAGCGCATTCAGAGTGAACCACTAGCCCTTAACGAGTTTCTTCACAGGATAACCAAACACCAGTGTGTGTCTAAACAGCAATATTTGTTAGTTCAATAGAGACTTTGTTTTTGATATATGCAATTTTCTTCCCAAAGAAGCCCATTTCCCCCTGCGATTTTATAGGGGGATCAGTATTCTAAAAATAGGCTATGCTTAAACAAAAATAACATTTTTAAAAGATTCAGGGAAATGGTTATGGTAGAGTCACTTTATTCAACACTATCAATTTTCCTTAACAGCTTTTTCTTTCTATTTTATTCTAAGATATCACAGGGATACAAAAACACTTATGGAAAAGGAAAACCAGGGGCGCCTGGGTGGCGCAGTCGGTTAAGCGTCCGACTTCAGCCAGGTCACGATCTCGCGGTCCGTGAGTTCGAGCCCCGCGTCGGGCTCTGGGGCTGATGGCTCAGAGCCTGGAGCCTGTTTCTGATTCTGTGTCTCCCTCTCTCTCTTCCCCTCCCCCGTTCACGCTCTGTCTCTCTCTGTCCCAAAAATAAATAAAAACGTTGAAAAAAAAAATTTGAAAAGGAAAACCATTCCCTTTGTAATAACAACAAAGAAAAAAAGGTGGGAGAGGGGGATTTTAAATATACTAATCAATAGTTTCAGTATTTCAACATTGACAAATATACTGATTCAGGACTTGCTGGTCTCCTCGTATGGAGAATACAGTTGTTCTACTAATTCTAAATAGGCACCCTAAGATTTTATCTAGAAGTACAGGTCAAAAATAACACTTCATTTTCTACCTTTCTTAGCTCTCAACGTTTTCCTCCAAAGAGTTGAAAATATCCCATCAGTCCAATCATTTGTGGCCACATCAAGTCGACCAAACATCTGTGGGGCTGTAATCGCTTTGGGATTCATCCTCATTTCCCGGTGTGGTTTTCCACAATCTGTACCAAGTAAATCCAAAACAACATTTAAACAACGCAGATGTAGAGCAAGCCATAATTAGGTAACACTGTACTAATTGCAATGTACTGTCAACAGGTGTTCAAAATAGGAAAAATACAAAATTACACGAAAACATTATGTATTCCTGCATTCCAAGGTATCATAATTAACATCGTTACATCTTATGGACTAACATACTTTTGTTTCTATCTTCTGTAAAAGCAAGCTGCAGGAAACATAATGGGGGTGGGGGAAGGATACCATGTTGGCATGGATGAAGGAATTAATGTAATCTGGAAGTTCTTCCAATTTCACAGCTCAAAAATCTTTTGATTTATGATATATTGGATTAAGCCTGGTCTCTGAAATACCACCCAGAAGATGCTGCATTCTCTGCATTCCCGACTTCAATTTGCTGAGATGTGTTCTTACTCATTTGGAAAAAAAAAAAAAAAACTAAGCGAAACTAATATTGTAGGAATCAAGGACTTTTCTTTTACAGCCAAATTCAAAAAAGGTTTTTGACTCTTTCACACCCTAAAACTACTTCTAAATAAGCTAGATTCTGTACATAAGGGACTGTGGTTAATAAGCAGAAAAGTGAAGAATAAGGTTTAAAGTATAAAATGATAAAAATTGATGCTGAAACATTACATACTGTGTGAAAGGTTGACAAACACAGGCAAACATACATAATAACTATGCACATTGAAAAAGGTGTTAAAACCCACTAAAACCCATTTAGAAAATTAGACCATAGTTCTCTTTTTTTTAAATCACAAAAAGACTCGGGGTAATTATTTGCAGTATTTTACAACGCTGAAGGGAAACTGCATCACAACTCAGCTTCTTCAATAAATGATATCCATAAGACTAGCAAAACTATATCTTTTACCTAAAGGCCAGCAAACTCTTAAAGAGTATGACAGTATTAGGGTGTCTAGGTGGCTCAGTCAGTTAAGTGTCCAACTCTTGGTTTCAACTCAGGTCATGATCTCGCGGTTTGTGGTTTCGAGCCCTGCGACGGGCTCTGTGCTGCAGACTGATTGAGATTCTCTGTTTCCCTTTCTCTCTGCCCCCTTCCCTGCTCACTCTCTCTCTCTTTCTCAAAATAAATAAATAAACATTTTTTAAAAGACTATGATAGCATCATAAGTAAAAATGACTTGATCTGCTGCCCATATAACTATCAAAAATGATTTCATTATGGGGGCGCCTGGGTGGCTGAGTGGGTTAAACGTCAGACTTCGGCTCAGGTCATGATCTCATGGTTCAAGCCTCACGTCGGGCTCTGTGCTGACAGCTCAGAGCCTGGAGTCCGCTTCGGATTCTGTGTCTCCCTCTATCTCTGCCCCTCCCTGGCTCATGTGTGTGCTCTCTCACTCTCTCTCAACAATAAATAAACATTAAAAAAAATTTTTTAAATTATTTCATTATGGTAGTACGTAGAATTGTATCATTTCAATTTTAAATACCATAACATTTTGATACAGAATTATTGAGTCACTATGTTATATGCCTGAAACCAATATAACATTGTATGTCAACTACACTTGCATAATATTTTTTTAATTTATGACCAAAAAAATGAAATACCAAAACATGTTTATAAGATGACAAGAAAAAAATGCTTTACTTTCAAAAGGTTGGTTAAACTAATTCCTCCTTTTATTATTATTTTTTAATGAAATCCATGTTAGTTAACATATCGTATAATAATGATTTCAGGAATAGAATTTAGGGATTCATCACTTACATACAACACCCAGTGCTCATCCCAACAAGTGTCCTCCTTAATGCCCATCTCCCATCTAGCCCATCCCCCCACCCAACACCCCGCCAGCAACCCTCAGTTTGTACTCTATATTTAAGAGTCTCTTATGGTTTGTCTCCCTCTCTGTTTTTATCTTATTTTTGCTTCCCTTCCCTTATGTTAATCTGTTTTGTTTCTTATTGCCACATATGAGTGAAGTCATATATGTCTTTCTCTGACTGACTTATTTTGCCTAGAATAATACACTCGAGTTCCATCCACATTATCACAAGTGGCAAGATTTCATTCGTTTTCATCACCAAGTAAATATTCTATTGTGTATATATACCACGTCCTCTTTATCCATTTGTCAGTCAATGGACATTTCGGATCTTTCCATACTTTTGCTATTGTCAATAGTGCTGCTATAAACATTGGGGTGAATGTGCCCCTTCAAAACAGCACACCTGCATCCTTTGGATAAAGACCTAGTAGTGCAATTGCTGGGTCATAGGGTAGCTCTGTTTTTAATTTTTTGAGGAACCTCCATACTGTTTTCCATTCCCACCAGCAATGCAAAAGGGTTCCTCTTCTCTACATCCTCGCCAACATCTATTGTTGCCTGAGTTGTTCATTTTACCCATTCTGACTGGTGTGAGGGTGTATCTTGTTGTGGTTTTGATTTGTATTTCCCTGATGAGTGATGTTGAGCATCTTTTCATGTGTCTGTTCGCCATCTGGATCTCTTCTTTGGAAAAGTGTCTATTCATGTCTTTTGTCCATTTTTTCACTGGATTACTTACTTTTTATGTGTTGAGTTTGATAAGTTCTTTATAACCCTTTATCTGATATGTCATTTGCAAATATCTTCTCCCATTCCATTGGTTGCCTTTTAGTTTTGCTGACTTAAACCAAATCCTCTTAATTCTCTTCCTAGGCATTTCTTGACTGTCCTGATCACTCCACCTTCATGGATTCTGCCCCTAGAGTAGGTACACTTTCTTGCTGCTGCCTCTTTATGGACTCCAGACCATCCCTCCTGTCCCGTGGCCCATTCTCCACATGGCCACAGGATGGTCTTCTACACACAGCGTTGATCATACCACTCCCCAGCCCAATGGCTTCCCATCACCTGCAAAATAAAATCTAAGTACTTAGCATAACTTACAAAGCTCTATTGCACTAATTTGAATGCCCCCTAAAAGGAAAGCCTCAAACAAGGATACGGGTATGGGGAGTTTGAAGTCAGGGGAAAGAGAGAATGAAACAGAAAATGAGAGAAATCCAAGAATGGGCTCATTTGGGAGGTGGCCACAGATGTAGTGTCCCTCTGATGGACATGAGGAGGTAGGACACTTGCCTTCAACCCAACTTCTGCCACTGTTTGAGGGTATGGCTGCCTCAGGGGCATTAATGCCCACTCTCTTCCAGGCTGAACCAGTTCCCTAGATTCTAGGAAAGTCATAATGCTGAAAAACTGGGAGACACCCCTGGCATTTGTGGGAGAAACTGACCAGCAGCTGCACCTGTACCAGGACAGGGTCAAAGGGGTGTGGTGGTGGGCACCAGGAGCACGTACTATATATACCTTCTCACCTTCCCCACTCCCACCCCCACACACAGACTACCTTTTATCCACACCAGTGCACTTTCTGGGCATGCCATGCTCTCTGGAGTCTCTCCTATCTGCACAGGCTCTTTGTTCTGCTAAGAATGCCTTGCATCCATCTGCTATTCAACCCTCAATCTTCAGCTGAAGTGGCACCTGCTCTGTAAGCCTTCCTAGAATTCCTTAGAAAGGTTTCTGATCTCCTTTGCCTGCTCACAGCATAACTGTCCAAATCTTCTCATAGTGATTCCATGTTGACTAATAACTGTCTGGGTTATCCCGCTCCTTGAAGGCATGGCCTTTGGTTTTCACGCCTGCTTCCCCACTTCTGCTACAGAACCTAGCAGAACCTCACGTACAGAACATTAAAGATATTTGATAAATAAATACATGATGAATAAGGAAACAGATATACATGGGTCTAGTACAAGTTCAATGCAATTACCTTCTCAATCTTTGGGATTATTAGTGTTTTCGGCATTAGACAATGTTTTGCTTAAGATAACGAATGTTTGCCCTACGTATGAAAACCAAGAACAGGTTAATCGACAGCAAGTAGTCTAATGATTAATTCGTCTTTGCAAAGAACTTCTCCAAAACCAGCGATGCCATATGGATTACATAATTTAGACATATTATACATAATGTATCACTATTGTTTAATATTTAGTACTCATTTTGTTCAACTCACTTTACCAGGTGCATTTGTAGTTTATTGCTAACAGAAGGCAGCTACACAACAACAACAAAAGTATTATTAAGCATAATTTGAGAGAACACATCATTTTAAAGCTATATAAAAATCCCCAAACAGAGTCTCAACAGCACATGAAAACCGCACGGTAAGTCTTGCAGGTGTGTGCTCTCGGTTTTGGCAAAGGTAAGTGAGAGCTGAGAGCACAATTCTGTCTCAGTGTGAACACCCCGTGCTGGAGTCTTAACGTACAGAACTCACTTTGCCCCCTAGCTGAGGGCACCGAGACTAAACCCAACACGTGCAGGTCCCTAGAGCAAACACAGAGCAGTCTCCACCGCCACAACTCAGCATCAGTGCACTCGAGTTTCATGAGCGGACTGGAAACCCAGCCAGGCACCTTTTCCCCATGGGACCATGTGTGATGCAATCCAACGGCTGAAGTTCTGTGAAATTTTGGGACTCAAATCTGCCATGGCTCAGAGCTGCCTACACAGTACTTTTAGTATGGGAAACATCAATGTCCAATCAGAAAATACAGGGATAGTCACAAATGTGGCAATGCCCATAATCTTTGGATGACCTTGGGCTAGGTAGGGAATTAGATATAAGGCTAAGGGAGATCTGGGAATTAAAGGCATCTCTTGAACTTCACCAGAAAAATATCTGATTCTTGGTGGGAAATTAGTTTACAATTAGGATGATTTGGGGAGTTGAAATTGAAATTATTTTTTTTAATTTACTTGAGAGGTAGCACATTGTATTAACTCATTGGGAAGTACCATGTTATAATGGGAAACATCCGGGTTTTTCATTAGTGGGCCATGACCTTACTGTCTTCACAACCTGTAGCATTTCTGAACTTGAAGCTCAACATTTTTGTACAAAATGGGGATGGTCAGAGCCACATCTCAAGATCATGGTGAAAATTAAATGACATAACATAAGTAAAACACATAACACAGTACATAAAGTCACTGTTTAAAATTTGTTTTCATGCAGCATTATTCATAGAAGCTAAGATACGGAAATGATGTAAATGCCCATTAATAAGAGAAAGAATTCAGGAAATGTGACATATATATATAATTCAACCACACGCAAGAAGGACATCCTGCCATTTGCAATGACATGACGACACGGATGAACCTCGAGAATGTCACGCTAAATGAAGTCAGTCACACAGGGAAAGATAAATCCTGTATGGTATCATTTACGTATGGAATCTAAAAAAAAATGAAACCCTGGAAAACAGATTGTAGAATGGTGGTTACCAGGGGTTAAGGTGTAGGGAAATGGAGAGATATCAGACAAAGAGTACAAACTTCCAGTTAAAAGATTCACAAGGATGACGGGGCGCCTGGGTGGTGCAGTCGGTTAAGCGTCCGACTTCAGCCAGGTCACGATCTCGCGGTCCGTGAGTTCGAGCCCCGCGTCATGCTCTGGGCTGATGGCTCAGAGCCTGGAGCCTGTTTCCGATTCTGTGTCTCCCTCTCTCTCTGCCCCTCCCCCGTTCATGCTCTGTCTCTCTCTGTCCCAAAAATAAATAAACGTTGAAAAAAAATTTTTTTTTTAAAAAATAAAAAAAAATTAAAAAAAAATAAAAAAAAAAGATTCACAAGGATGAGGATCTGACATACATTATAGCATAACGTACATATAGCATCATGATCATAGCTAATTACACTGTATCATATAGTTGAACAAGTTGCTAGATGAGTAGATCTTAAATGTTCTCACCACAAAAAAGAAATGGAAAGTAACTGTGTGACGAGATGGGGGTCAAAGCTAATGGTGGTAATCATTCTGCAACATACAATTGCTTCAAATCAATACACTGTACACATGAAACTTATACAATACTATGTGTCAGTTATATCTCAATAAAGCTGCAAAGAAGTTTTCCCCTCCAGTTCATTATTATAATACACTATCTCTAAAATGTGCCCAATAATCAGTAGAGCATGTCCCTCTTGGAGCATCCAAATGTGTCACAGTGATTTAAATGTGTTGCCCGGAGCAACATAGCCTGACCACCCCCTTACCTGTCATGGCTTTCATCAAGGTGTGGATACAAGTGGTCTTCCCCGCTCCACTGGGCCCCAGGGTCATCATTCCGTGTCGCACTCTCTGTGTCTCAAACAGCTGGATAACTTTCAGTTTCCAAGGAGGATGGTTAATTAAACCAGCTTCTTCAACCTGAAAACATAAACAAAGCCCCACATTGGGCCACATCGACAGCAATCTGGACCTTCCACTGCGCTCAAACTAAGCACAGACATTGAGGAGGGGGATAGAGGAAAGATAGTTACTATTTAACGGGCATGGAGTTTCAGTTCGGGGAGGTGAAAAAAGTGCTGAACATGGGTGGTGACGATGTTTTGCACAATAATGTGAAATGTACTTAACGCCACTGAACAGTATACTTAAAAATGATTAAAATGCTAAATTTTAAATTATATATTTTACCAGAATGAACAATATATTGCTGGGGTGCCTGGCAGGCCCAGTCAGTGGAGCATGTGACTTTTTATCTCAGGGTTATAAGTTTGAGCCCCATGTGTGGCGTGGAGTTTACTTAAAATAAAAAATTTATATATATATGGCATATATATATATATATATATATATATATATATATGCAAAGACCATAGGTTGAATATTCAAAATGTTATCCCAAGGCAACAAGAAACCTCTGCATTTGCCTTTGGGAATTGAATACATTTATATTAATACATCCTTGAATATATGTCTTAGGAGCAACTTAAGAATAAAGACTCATGTATCAAAATGTATTTTAAATGTTTAATTTAAAAGGTGATATTTAATAACTGGAAAAGTTGTTAGCACACCAAGTTGACTGAAATTCCATCTAAAACTCAAACTGTCTATAAATCTACTGAGTTTTTATCTGTCAAACACACACATGAAAGTTATTCTGCCAAACACTAGTCTAAGTTCAATATTCATAATAACACTACAAGATTAGTACTGTCACTATCTTTCTTTTACAGAGAAGGAAACTGAGGCACAGAGAAGCCCAGCAATTTACCCAAGATTATTACTTGTAAAGTTACAGAGTGGGAATCCGATCCCAAGAAACTAAGCTCCATGGTCCATGCTCTTAACCATCATGCTACGCTTAACCCCACTATAAATGATGTTTTTATTTTTATTTAAATAATTGTTGGATAATAATCACATGTCATTTCATGCTATGTATATGCTCTTCAGATTTTTCATATGCTACAAATTACGCTGTTAGTCATCTTATACATTACTTTATACTAAGCTTTTTAGACAATTCAGCCATACGATGATAATTCATTTGCAAATTGAATTATCACTCTTACCTGATCAGATTAAGATTTTTGTATCTTGATTTTTAAAAGGAAAATATCCATTAAGTACTGCCGTATTTGATTTTTGTTAACAAATATCTTAAACAAATTGAAATGTACTTTATAAATGTGAGCCAATCACTATTTCTATAAAACTTTTCTTCCCCCAAACTCTTCTTTGCAGGAAAGTAAACCGTGGCACAAGGTTTACATGACTCGTCTTCATTCCCAGGAAAACTAGAAAAACGTACAGCTGCACCAAGTCTCATAGGAAATCCAGACACCTAATGCCTCACACAACATGGCAGATCCCCAGAGCCTGAGGAAGAAATCACAGGTGATCCTAGGCCTGGGGGAAAAGAATGACAGTTGAGGAGCCACGGGAGATCACTGCGAGTGACACCTCAGGGCGGGAGTCCAGAGGTCAAAGCCATGCGGAAGCACCAGGGCCACAGACAAAGCCAAGTCGAGGAAGGCTCGCCCGCCAGCTGAGCCCCACTCGCCCCGCTCGCTTGTCATACTTCATCTCAGAATCTGGTGCGGCACGGTTTCCATCCATAGGGGGCCCACTAACATGTGGCCAACCAGATGTGCTTGTGGGACAGCAGGGGACTGTCTGGCTGGAGAAGCTCAACAGCCTCCCCGAAAACAGTAGCCATCATCTTGGGTGTTGTTCTTGAAACCCACGGATCTGCAATACATCAGCTGCACCTGACACCCATGAAATTCGGATGAAAGAGACACGGACACAGCTGGATGTCCTGAGAGATACATTACCTGCCTACTAATCGCCATTGCCAGTTCAGGGTAACCTGCTTTGTCCAGAAGAATATTTGGGAAGAGATCTTCAATCAAACTCAAAAATAAGGGTTCATCTTCATCAATCTAAGAGAGAAAAGAAAGAGAAACTGGACCAACTATTTTGGCACAATCATAACAACGCACAGATAAACTGAAAATGCTGAACATACCAAATTATTTTATGATAATAAGTAAAATGTCACCTTCATTGAAGTGGAAGAATATGTTCCTCATGTTTCCCATAAATTAAAAATTATTTTAGAAAAGAAAGGGGGAGGAAGAGGGAGGAAGAAGAGAAGAAAATGAAGGAAGGAGATGAAAGAAAAGAAAATAGTGCCCATATGACAACCTCTCCATAAAATAATAATCAGTTTGGGGAATTACCACATAACCTACGATTTCTAATTGAAATTTTAAAAATAATAATTGAAATAAGAGATAGTAACAAATTCATGAATTGGAATTTGCTCCACCCTTTTATCTTGAAAAAAAAATATACCATCTGTCACCCTGTACACAGATTCACTGACACTGAACAATTGATTTTCAGTCTCACCTACGAAATGAGAGAGTGTGAAATTACACACTTGTTAAATTTACATATCACTTCCTGCTGGGTTCTACAGACTTTAAAGAAGGTGAGATTTCAGCTCTAAAACCCAAAAGTATTTCAAGGTATTTGGAAACTTAACATGTGGATTTTTAAAAATCCATTTGAATTCTATCGAAATAGGCATATGTTACACTAGATATGAGTTACCACAAAAGCAACGTCTGGAAAAGTCTAAAGTTAGGCTCTCCAGCACTTTGGCTGATTATTAAGCATTTTAAATGAGTATTTTAAATAAATATTTCTAAATCTCATTTGTGCTTAGTTAGCTGAACTGATATCTAAGTTGGTGGAACATTTCCATCTGTGAATCTTACTAGTTTAGAAAGATTCATGTCTCGCAGAACACGCATGACGATTGTTGATTCCGTATCTGTGGGGTTGGCTCTTTTTGCGGCTCCCAGCGTTCGCAGAACTGACAGAATGTTCCGCAGACCAAAATCATAATGTACCTGAAGAATGTGAGGTACAGTGGGCTTATTTCCAATATTAACTTGCGCATGAAAACGATACAAACTTGACAAAAGACCTCTTCACAATAACAAATAAATGCTAATTTTCCTTTAGAAAAAAATTGTAGTTAGTGAAGCAATAAATTTTTATCAGTATGTATTTTTAGAGCAAACTGAGAATATCCAAAAGAGTTCTCTCATGGACAATCACTAATTTAAGCCCTTAGATCAGAGCTAATAAATATATCTTGACAGGGAGAAAGGAATAAATTTCCTCTTAGAGTATACACGTCTCCCTGAGCCTCTTCTTAATCAGTCATCCATAGGAAAATGTCCTCATATCTCTAAAGCTAAAACTCTGAACCAGGAATGTGTGTATATATACATACACACACACACTGATAGGCAAAAAGACAGGTTTTAAGAAGGAAGAAAAGTAGTCCTATTCTAGGATTACCTAGAGCGGGGAAAAATAAGGACAAACCAGAAAGCCAAGCCCCAGCTTTGTTATTCCCTTGATATATACCTGTAAAAGCTCAAATCATAACAAATTTTATCACCTATAAAGTGAATAATTAAAAACTGATTATCTAACCACTATGGAAAACACTATGCCAGTTGCTCAAAAAATTGAAAATAGAACCACCATAGGATCCAGAAACCCCTCTTTTGAGTATATATCCAAATAATTGAAAGCAGGATCTCAAAGAGGCAGTTGCACACCCATAATGACAGCAACAGTATTCACAACAGCCAAGAGACAGAAGCAACCCAAATGCCCACCTTCAGATGAACAGGAAAATGAAAATGCGGCATCCTTTCTTCAGTCATAAAAAGGAAGCAAATCCTGCCATATCCTACACCACAGGTAAACCGAGAGGACATTATGCTAAGCAAAATAAGCCAGTCAAAAAAGACAAATGCTTACAATCCCATTTACATGAGGTATCTAAAGTAGGAAGATGTGGGGCGCCTGGGTGGCGCAGTCGGTTAAGCGTCCGACTTCAGCCAGGTCACGATCTCGCGGTCCGGGAGTTCGAGCCCCGCGTCGGGCTCTGGGCTGATGGCTCGGAGCCTGGAGCCTGTTTCCGATTCTGTGTCTCCCTCTCTCTCTGCCCCTCCCCCGTTCATGCTCTGTCTCTCTCTGTCCCAAAAATAAATAAACGTTGAAAAAAAAATTTAAAAAAAAAAATAAATAAATAAATAAATAAATAAAGTAGGAAGATGCATGGAAACAAGTAGGCTGTTGGTCATCAGGGGCTGAGAAAGCAGCAAGAGAAGAATTTCTATTTAATGGGTACAGAGTTTTGCAAGATGAAAACGTTATGGAGGTCAGTTTCATAGCATTGTAAGTATCCTGAATACTACTGAACTGTACATTTACGAACGGTGAAGATGGCAAATTTAATGTTATATATGCTTTACCACATAGAAAAAAAAAAACACAATTAGGGGCTAAGGTAACTGGGAGCAGTACGCCTCACTTGAGACAAATCACTTGGAGGATGGAGCACATAAAAATATTTGGACTGAGTTCCTGCCTTCAAGGAGCTTAAATTCTAATAGAGGTAAAAAGGTAAAAATGTGAGCAAACTCACTAAAAAGTGACCATGACTCGAAAGTGCTGATGTGTGGAACTAATTAAGGAAAATTTCTCAGAGCTGGACTCAGTTAAATCTGTGGGCATGAAGTGAGATTCATAGAATGTTCACCCAGAGATCAGCACGGGGCCAACTGTTTTGGGCACGTTGGCTCATTTCACGACAACGACCTGTGAGCAGGGCTGTGGGAATGAAGAAAAGTAGAAACGAAATAGTAGAGAAGAAGGAGACAGGAGTCAGTGATGTGGGCGTTTTCTACATGCAAGAAACAGCATGGAAAAATATTTCTTTGACAGAAGAAAAAAGGAGAATGGGTGAGTAAAGGCTTCAATAAGCAGAAGAAACAAAGAGCATTTTCAGGGGGAAAGTAATTTAATCGAGCTTGGGGGTATAAAAAAATAATCTAGAGTCAAAGAAGTTTGGAATGGAGACTAGAGTAGAGAGGAACCAAAGTATTGTATATGTTAAGAGATTTTATTTGTGTTACAGTTTTATGTTTATTGCAGTGTATTATTATTTAGTGTATTCTTTCAGTAATTTTTATTTATATGTCCCAGAAATTTGTGGCATGATCCCCACCTCCTGGTGTCTGTGTCCCTGTATAATCTTTTCCCATTGAGTATGGTAGGAGCTAGGCTTGTTTTAACCAATATAATACAGCAACGATGACTGGCCATATGTAATTTCTGTGTATGTGTTCATGTGGTCACATTACATAAGATGTGTGATGGTTAATTTTATGTGTCAGTTTGACTGGGTCACAAGATGCCCAGAGAGCTGATTAACGTTATTTGTGGGTGTGTCTCCAAAGAAGTTTCTGGAAGAGATTAGCATTTGAACTGGTGGACTGAGTAAAGAAGATGGCCCTCCCCCATGTAAGAGTGCACCATTCAAGTGCTGAGGACCCCAGCAGAACAAAAAGGTGGAAAGAATGGATGGATTTGCTCGCTCTGCCCTATTGCTAGGCTGGGATATCAACCACTGCTGTCCTCAATGCTCCTAGTTGTCTGGCCTTCAGACTTGGACTAGAATCTATACCATCAACCCTTCAAACTACACCATCAGCTGGTCTCCAGCTTACAGACAACAGATCATGGAACTTCTCTACCTCCATAACTGTGAGCCAATACCTTATAATAAATTTCCTTACAGGTATATACACATATATCCTATTGGTTCTGTTTCTCTACAGAATCCTAATACAAGACCATAGCACTCATCTTGCCAGAACCTTTTTCCCTTGCTGACTTTGAGAAGGCAAGTGGCCGTGTTGGGGGATCCCATGTGGCAAAGAATGGCACTCAGCCTGCAGGAACTGAGGTGGCCTTCTCCAGCTGACAGCCAGCAAGAAACAGAATCCCTCAGTCTTTCAACCTCAAGTAACAGAATTCTGCCAACAACCTGAGTGAGCTTAGAAGTAAATCCTTCTCCAAACAGGGAGCCAAGACTTGACTGACGCCTTGTTACCCTCTAAGTAGAGGATCCAGCCAAGATGTACCAGGACTCCTGACCTACAGAAACCATGAAATAATAAATTGTGTATTGTTTTAAACCAGTAAGTTGGTGGAGCCGTTGTCACACAGCAACAGATAACTAACACAAAAGTAATACATGATTAATCTCATGCCTCTTAACTGCAAAGCTGCATGATGTCAGAACCTGCTACGCTAAACAGTACAGAAAACTTAGCAAAGAAGTTACCATAGATAAAACAGACAATTGGCAAAGCTTGGCCCAATATGTCGAAGATATTGGAAGTAAGAGGAGTAAATGATTGAGAGGCTCCTGAAAACCATGAGGACGCACAACACATATTATGATTAATGTACAGGTGGGATAAAGAGCACGTATTAATATTTATAATTCTTTGGCTCTTAAATCAGTTCAGATAGTACTCATCTCATTTTTATGCTGTAAATATTAATTTACTTAAATGTATTTCAGGAAACTATGCATATAAAATTGATTTCATAACGATACAACTTTGTACTTTGTATCCGTAAGGTAATCTGTCAACAACCCCAGTCTACAATTTTTCGAAATGAGCAAATCTCACTGAATAGAAAAACTAAGTATGCATAAGTCCAGAGAGACTTTCAGAACATCACACCTGCTTAGAAAGCTGCTCCTCACACAGCTTGTAGAGAGTATAAAACTTCCTGGCCAAAACTACGTTGTCAATGAAGCCGCAACTAGCCAACTTCACCCTGATGATAATCTGTCGGTCGGGCACCATCATGGCCACGGAGCGGAAGTTAATCTTCAAGTTTTCAGGAAGCTCCTGCCGTCCAGCATAGCCAGGATTCTGTGCAGAAAATAAGACCCACAGATGAATGACACAGTCATGGGGCAACACACACACATTAGCACGGCACTAAAAGATTCATTATGTCCACACAACAAATCTGGACTGACAACCGAAGAACTCATTTACATATCTCACTCTCCTTTTAGCTGGAGAGACTACATCACAAGTTATTAACATGAGCTTTGTTTAACACCAAAGGCCTTCACACAGCGGTTAAAATTACTGTCGCAATTTCCATTCATGAAAAATAAGTGACCTAAGACGAGGGAAATGCATGAAAGCTGTGAGATGAAGGCTGAAATTCAGCAGCTCTTCTTGTGGTTCCTTACCATGGTCAGGAAAAGTCCAAATTCAGGGTTCATAGTCACATTATCTCCATCGGTAAAAATAAAAGACTTTTTGCGCTCCTTTTTGCATGTCAGAATAATGGAAATTTGCTGGGCTGCCACTGACAGAACTGGTAAATCGATACGGTTAAATTCATCAAAACAACCCCAGGATCCAGACTGTGCTAATCCTTCGAAGGGAAATTAAATAGAAAATCCAATTAGTATATAATTTCGGAAAGCCAAGGAAAAGAGCATTTTGCAGCTGCCAAGACAAGCCAGAGATAAGTCTGTTCAAAAATAAACTTGAACAAATAGATTATGCATAAAGTGCCCCCGAAACAACTCACAATATGGCGCTCTGTCTGTAAACAGCCAACCTGCAGGGATAAAGGAACATTACAATGGCAAGTGATGTTGACATGTGACCCACACAAGAGTGGTTAAGATTTGGATTTTCCAAAAAGTTGTACAAAGTTGAAAAATGACACTGAAATACGGCCAGTTGTTGAAAAATAAATCTTTTTTTTAACGTTTATTTATTATTGAGATAGAGACACAAAGCATGAGCAGGGGAGGGGCAGAGCGAGGGGGAGACACAGCATCTGAAGCGGGTTCCAGGCTCTGAGCTGTCAGCACAGAGCCCAATGCGGGGCGCGAGATCATGACCTGAGCCGAAGTTGGATGCTTTACCGACTGAGCCACGCAGATGCCCCCCAAAATAAATCTTAACCAGATATTCTACCTTACCTTTAAATTTCTCATCAAATAAAAAATATAACCCTCACCTTTAAAAATCCGTCCAAGTCCTCGGAAATCCATCTGGTCGGAACAATTGAAAACCACGACATACTTCCCGAGACATCGACCCATATCTTTCGTAGTTTCTGTTTTTCCTGTTCCTGCGGGTCCAGTGGGAGCTCCTCCCATGCTCATTCCCAGAGCTTGAGCCAACGTGATATAACACCTGGAGGAATAGAGACATCACTAGAACCATGCCCCCGGCACCTAGATGACACTTCTGGGACATCACAGTAAAATGAACTGCGCACAAGACTTAAAAATGGAAAATTTAAGCCACTGTCCCTACATAGCATTTCCAAAACTGCACCCTAATATACACTTTCCTTATGGATATTTGTTAAGGAAAAGGGAGGGGCTGGCCTATGGTTAACTCAGTTTGAAAACTCTTAAAAAGTTTCAACAGGCTTTCTCATGACAACGTACAGCGTGAGATTCTCCAAATGTGAAAAAATAGTACACAGCATTTCCAAAACTTACTTGGCAATGTTTTTCACAGAAATCTACCAACATCTAGAGAATAGTGTTCTATGAAACAGATTGGGAACCATTAGATCAATTCCCTTCTGGGAATCTAAGAGTCAATAATTTGATGTACTTGGGTACAAATGATCACATGAGACAAATCACACATTGCTAAATAATCATATCTTCAATCTATTTCTGGGAGTGCCTACTGTACTTTGCACATACCTTCTATTATCTCTTATCACATGATATTAACAAATAAAAGACTCTGATGAGGAAATACAAGAGTGCCTGGGAAGGAAAAAACTACCCTGATAACTCACTGATGAATCACTCAATTCTCCAGCATCACCCAGTGCTGTCAAAGTGATGAATCTACAAAGTGATGAAGTTGAGGGCTTTCCTACAGCGAACTCTATAAAGCATTCATCTGGACTTGAAAAAAATTTCAAAGGAAATAAAGTGATAGTCCAATGTGAAAGGTGGGAATAAACAGCAAGCACACCAACCAGAGGTCCTCCAGAGTCTGTATTTCATTGGAAGTGGGTTCCTAAAAAGGCAAGTAAATGACTTAGCCGTGAATGTATATGGAGCCTGGAAATGGAGAGGACAATACAGGAGAACGCCCAAGCTCACTTTGATTTTGCCTTTTAATTCAAAGTTTTATTTCCCGCCTTGCACTTTCGTCATCCCTTGCAGAACAGTCTCTAAAAATAGTTAACACGTTGTGCTCCACCTACATTATCTCGCTTAAGCCCAGAGAATCCTGCAGGGAAGCTACTGTTGTTTTTCCCACCTTACAGATCAGGAGAAAGGCTCACAGAGATGGAATTACTTCTCTCGAGATCGTGGTAGCAGAGCCGAGATCCAAGCCTACCTTTCTGGCGGCAAGCCCTCAGCTGCCCGGCTCGAGAACACGTCCACCCCACCAGGGTAAGAAATAAATCTCCGAGAGCTCTGACCCCCAGCTACTCTGTCTTGCAAACCCTCTTTATAACTGGGACCATTTGGGTTTATATTTGAATTGAAGCAGTAGTAAGTTGTTAGGTTGCCTGAAAGAAGTCATCCTATTCGTGCGGAAAATGAGCAGGCAAGCCAGGCGCTTTATCCGTGGAAGTATTGGAAGTATTGGTTGCAAAATGCTGGGGAATTTCCCAATGCAATTATGGTACACACATCAAGAACATATTTTTGTTTTTCTTCTTGGGGGGTTTAGTTATAGACTCTGGTTATAGGACGTACTTAAGGAGAAACAGAAGGAAACATTGAGAGGCACCAGGGTGGCTCAGTCAGTTAAGCATCTGACTCTTGATTTCAGCTCAGATCATGATCTCATGGTCATGAGCTCGAGCCTTGCATAGGGCTCTGCACTGGGCATGGAGCCTACTTAAGATTCTCTCTTTTCTCCCCCTCTGCCCACCCCACTGGTACTCTCTCACTCTCATGCTCTCTCTCTCTCTCAAAAAAAAGGAAACATTGATAAAGAATGTGTTATTGATGATTGCGAATAACCATAGTCATAGCAACAATAATAATGAGTAACATTTACTGAATGCCAGGTCCTCATTACCTACATCTGTCACCGATGGTCCACACAGTGATTCCAAAAGGAGGGAATCAGAGAGTTTAGGTGTCTGGGCCAAGACGATGCAGCTATTAAGGGCAGAGTCCAGTGGTCAACACACAAGTATGATTCACAGAAGCTGTGAGAATACTTCAGAGAAAGGCACATGTTTTTCTGTTTAGACCCATGTACATTTCTTATCAAGCAGATGAGAAACTTCTATAAGCCTTTGATTCCTGCTGCCCTCTGCCTGAGTGACAGTGTAGTAAGAATGATTCCTGTCTTCTCTGCTTGTGCCCAGAGTGGAAGGAGGGAACGGCCATGAAAAAACACCACGAGCTTTCAGAGAAAGGCACTATATATTTTTAGTGAATTAGAATAACTATTTTATCATCTGGAACAATGGCAACTCCATCCATGTGATGTTGAGCTTCCCAGAGACTACAGCCACCAACGTTGTTGACTTTCCACGGGGCAGTCAGCAAAAGACTGATGAGATATCAATGCCTCTGCCCTTTGATTTTTGTAAGGATTAACTTTAGTGAGGAATTCTTCGGGAAAAGGGCAGGAATGCTTACAGTGGAATCTCAGTGACCGGCAAAAAAAAAAAAAAAAAAAAAAAAAAAAAAAAACAGGTAACTCACTTCTCCCATAATCAAGAGAGTTAAAGAAAAATAAGCAAATGAACATTGAGGGGGACACAGGCTGAAACAAACCCTGGAATCACTTCCACTTCTATATTTAACAGACACCTGCTGTGTTTCTAAAGTTCTCAAGTTCTCTGGGGTGCGTGGGTGGCTTAGTCGGTTAAACATCCAACTTTAGCTCGTGTCATGATCTCACCATTTGTGAGTTCGAGCCCCATGTCAGGCTCTGTGCTAACAGCTCAGAGCCTGGAGCCTGCTTTGGATTCTGTGTGTGTGTGTGTGTGTGTGTGTGTGTGTGTGTGTGTGTGTGTCTCTGCCCCTCCCCTGCTCACATGGGTCCTCTCTCTCTCTCTCTCGCTCTCAAAAATAAACATTTAAAAAAAATTTAAAGTTCTCAAGCTTTTTTGATACAGAAAGATGTACAAGACAATGAATATAGTGAAAGAATTAAGATGCAGAGAAGTTTGTAGACTATATACCAATACCTATATGTAAAAATTAAAAAGAATTTTGACATACTAGCATTTGAAATTTCTAGAAGAGGAAATAAACTGTTAAGTGTTAAAAAAAAAAAAAAAGAAGAAAAAAATTTACTCTCACACTTTCAACTTTATGTCCTTTTGTACTATTTAACTTTTTCATCACAAAGATGTGCCTCTGAAAATAAACATTTCATTCATTCATTCTGGAAATGCTTATTTAGCACCTATAATGTGACAGCACCCTTGTAGGGGCAGTAAATAAGTCACAGGAAGTCCATGCCAGCTCTTTAGCTGACATCTTAAAGGAAGGTAACAAGTTATTCCAAAATAGGAAACAGAAACAATAAAGTTGGTCAGGAGGGCTAGGGGGAGTGTGGGGGTCTCTGCTTCTTGTGGTGGGTCTGAAGTGCCCTCTGAGGTGACATTTGAACAGAGCCCTGAAGGTGAGGGAGCAAGCCATGCCAGTACTGAAGGGAAAAAGAGTTCCAGGTCAAGGGGACAGTAAGGGCAAGGGCCCTGAAGCAAGAGTGTGCCGTTCTAGAACAGCTAAGGAGCAAGTGGCTGGAGCTGAATGAGAAAGAAGAAACAGAAGAATAGCTGGGGCCACATCATGCCATGCCACATAAGGTCACTTTATTTTGGGTGAGATAGAAAGACAGTGCAGGGACTGAGGCAAAGAGATGACAGAATAGGACTTCCAGTGTCTGAATTGAGAATAGACCACAGCGGGGGGGCAAGGGGAGCAGGGCAATGGCAGGAGCAGGGAGACCAGTCAAAATACCGTTGCGAGAATCCACGCTAGAGATTATGGTGGTTTGGAGCAGCATGGTAACAGCAAATGGGTGAAAAGTGGTCACATCCCAGGTGAATTCTGGGAATGGTGCTGAGCAAACTTGATGACAGAGAGGGGGATAATAAAGCAAGAGAAAAAGGAAGGTATCAGAGATGCTCCAGGCATTTTAGCTTGAGCGACCCAAGGATGGAACCGCCATTTGCTAAGATGAGGAAGACTAAGGAGGGTGCGTCTGTGGGGGACGATCAAAGCTGTTAACTGTGAATTCCGGGCAAGCATCCAAGTGGACACGTTGGACAGGTACGTGGATAGATGTGTCTGGAGCTCAGGGGAGAAGCCCGGGCTGGGTGTAGACTGGGGAGTCCACATCTGGATGACACTCGCAGCCACAGGAGATCACCAGAGCAGCCAGCGTAGACGGACAAGACTCCCGGCACATTCTGGGCTTAAACTGGGAAGGTAAAGGGGAAGCAGAACAAGGGTACGAAGGGCCAACTGGAACAGTACAGAGCCAGGACAGTGTGGTGTCTTGGAAGCCGTGTGACGACAGTGGGTCACAAAGGACAGAGTGCTCAGCTGTGCACACCGGCGCTCCCTCACGGGTCAGGAAAGACAAGAACAAGAAATGACTAGCGCACGGAGCAACAGAAAACGTCTGCATGGTAGCTTCCAGAGAAGGCAGAGAGTATGAGGGGCAGCTACACCCCAAAGACATCCACGTTTGAATCCCCGGAACCTGTGAACAGGTTGCCTCGAGTGACTAACGGGACCTTGCAGCTATGATGTCAAAGGTCTTGCGATGATCCGGGATCACCTGTCGGGACAAATCTAATCTCACGAGTCCTTCAGAGGAGAGAAGGGAGGCAGAAGACCGGGTCAGACGTGGGACTGAAGACAGAGGAGAGTCGATGCCTGAAAGGGTCTCAACCCACCGCTGCCGGCTGTGAAGATGAACCAAGAAAAAGTACAGCCTCCCAAAGCGGGGAACGGCCTTCAGCCGACAGTCAGCAAGAAAACCCGGCCTCGCGTCCTCCACGGCCAAGAAACGAATTCTGCCAACAGCCTGCAAGCACGGGAAGGGGGTTCGCCCTTACAGGCTCCAGGAGGGAGTCAGCCACGCTGACGAGTGTCAGACCTCTGACACACAGACTGTAAAATCATTAATTTGGGTTAACCTTCTAAGTCTGTGGTGACCTGTCACGGGATCAGTAAGAAACTAACGCAGAGAGCCCAACCGGAGTGAATTCCACATAAAAGAGGTGAAAGACAAATGGGTGCTTCCAAGGAGTTGTGATGAGAGCACAGGCGTGGGAAGAAACGCCAAGGCGTCACAGGAGGATTTTCTTTCCGGTAGCAATTACAGCATATTTGCAAGTTGATGAGAAGGATCCAGCCGGAAGTGAAAACTGATGCTGTCCCAGAGAGGAAATCACTGGCGGTGGGGATGTTGGCTTTGGATGGCCGCACAGACCATCCATCCAGAGAACCGACTGCACAAGAGCAGGTGCCCTGGATAGCCGAGGCGTGAGTGGGGACCGAGGGCGCGGCCCCTCCTGTGACAGCATCTTCCCCACAGGACAGGAGAGGCAGTCTTCACTAGGGAGGGAGGGGGGTGCTGGGAGCCTAAGAAGACAGTAGGTGTGAAATCACTGCCTGAGCCATAGGCGTCTCAAGGAACTGGTCACGTTTTGTGATTATCTGCCTCTGTGCTTCAAAACAAAGAGAAACACTCCAAAAGGACATCCAAGAGCATCCAGTATAAGTCACCTCCAATCCAGGCATAAGAAGGAATCGAAAGACAATGAAGAGGAGGAGAGTGACAATAAAGTCTCTCTGTTGAAGGTCAGCATTTCATTTAGCATCCGGAATGAGCAGAGAGAACAATCAAGCAGCATGTGAGTAACATGCTTGTGTCAAACTTCTATGTTTTGTGTGACAATATTTTTTTTAATTTTAAAATATTTTTTAAACGTTTATTTATTTTTGAGACAGAGAGAGACAGAGCATGAACGGGGGAGGGTCAGAGAGAGAGGGAGACAGAGAATCGGAAACAGGCTCCAGGCTCTGAGCTATCAGCACAGAGCCCGACGCGGGGCTCGAACTCACGGACCGCGAGATCATGACCTGAGCCGAAGTCGGCCGCTTAACCGACTGAGCCACCCAGGCGCCCCTTCTTTTTTTTTTTTTTTTAATATTTATTTATTTTTGAGAGAGAGAGAGAGAGAGAGAAAGAGAGATAGAGTGCAAGTGGGGGGAAGGGCACAGAGAATCGGAGACAGAATCTGAATCGGGCTCCAGGCTCCGAGCTGTCAGCACAGAGTCCGACACCAGTCTCGAATTTACAAACCATGAGATCATGACCTGGGCCAAAGTTGGACGCTTAACTGACTGAGCCACCCAGGGGCCCCTGGTGTGACAGTATTTGTCATCTAATAGCCCAGAAGTTCATTCCATGAAAATAAATGATATTCACCATCAGCTTCTACTGAGGCCAAATACTGCTTTTAACACTCAGCCATTTTGTCCAAAATAAGTAGGCAGCACATCCCTGAACAGAGCACATATGCAATTAGTTGATGCCACAAAGTTCAAAGTGGACTAAGTGAATTACAGAATGAGTTGCGGAACGACTCTTGGAGACAGACTGGCTCATCTTACAGATGAGGAAACTGAGTCTAGGGAAAGCGCAAGGCGCCTCTGGCTAACACAGTTGCTACGCAACAGGCAGAGGACAACAGAGAACTCCAGACGTCCTGGCCAATGTCCTCCCCATCACTTTTCACCTGTATTGATACTCAATTCCTTTCCTGCTAGGAAACCATCTTAATCATCTCTAATAACAGCAGGTGCCACTGTCCCCAGTGCAACCCTCAAGGCCAACTGTGATTTGCACCTATTGACACGGCAGTTAATTCCTTTTCTTGCCCCGCTGATGTCCCCTGAGGTCGTTTAAACTTAGCCTCCCTAAGACTGAAGGCAAAGGAAGCAAAGCGTTTCGGTCACAAAAACCCAAATCCCATGCAAAAACCCATGGGTAAAGCTAAAGATACCGTATTTCAAAGACTTTGGTATAAAAGAGCCTATAAACCCTAAAGAGACATGAGGCAGAAATCTCCTGAGTGACTCAGGAGGATAAAAATGTAGGGGAGTGGGTGGAGGGAAAGAGGTTGTGGGATCACAGAACCTTCCATCACCTGTCTGTGAGTGGAGTTATAACAAGCCTGTCAGTGCAGCCTAAAAATTCATTCTGGTATATGAAAGTCACATCCGTGATGTGGATCATCATCTTGTCGGAATCTTCGTTAAAATAAAATCTGCACTGTTTCAGCCACTCGAAGTCTGTAGGGCTCTTGATATGCATGTGGCACTGAAACGCAAAAGGGAGATGTTAGAGCTGAGATGAGAACCACCTATATTAAATATGCACATTAGCATTCACGTAGATCATAATGGGATGTAAGACAACCCAGCTGGTTTGGAGACATCAACTACAACACCATCCAACCCATTCATTGACTGATCGGCAAAAAGGACACTTGAGAAGATACAGGAATAGGAAAATTCAAGAGGAACCCCTAGTTGTGCCCACCAATGTAAACAGCATGACACATTTTAATAGATATTCACTTCTCAAATTGCACCCTTAAATGCCCCAAACCACAGCCCTAACCATAAGGTACAACCCATGAAAAATGTTTTGGCATACAAAGACAGAATCAAACAATCTCATTAGGAAAAAGGCATCTCTTGTGATTATGACAAAGTACAATGTTGGGGTTTTTTAATCCATTCGTTATCCTTCCTAGGATTTGCGGCGGGCCAAAATTTCTAACATCCAAATGGCAGGTTATTGACCAGTAACGCTTTTGTCTGAATTTTGTAACCAAAATGTTAAGCCATTTTCATTATTTTTCTTGGATAAATAATAAATCTAAAATTATCCTGGGCCCTTTATTTCTCAGAGAGGCAAACAGTGTGCTTCACTATTAAGAGAGATTAGACCACAAGAGCTTCAATAAGCTGTCCTTCTCTCCGTTACGTCACAACCGATCTTTTATAATCTTTTTCACATAACGGGGTGAGACACGATCCAGAAAGTTATTATGAAAATAAGGGCTTTTTGCCTCTTATGTTCTATTTTGTAGCAGAGGACAAATTTCATTTCTTTTCACATTTCCTATTTTCTGTAACTACTAAACTGCCTTTGCTACTCTGTTTTCTCTTGAAAGGCAAGAATCTGCATGACCTCTGGATGTCACCAGCCATATTAGGAAAGGCCATTTGCAATCAATGACATAAAATGTAGCGAAACTTGTTAAAGATGTGACTTATCCAAAAGCCTCCAAGGAAGCATGAACCAATTCTTCTAGCAGTGTTCCTTGTCATTTCCATAGCAAGAGACTGGTAATCTTTAATAACTAACAGGAACACAAGACCAATGAAAGCTTTTTTCAGGATGTTCCATGGCAGGTTAGCTTCCAAACTGGTCACGTAAAGAATCTAAAATAAAGTCTAATTGATCAATAACATCTTAACAAGAGATCATCAAAATATGACTGAAATTTTGGTTTAAAGACTGAAAAAAAAAATCTGACAAACAAGTTCTCATCAGGAAGATGACCCTTTGCCTGAATCTAACCTTTCCTTTGAATTCATTCAAACTAATCCCAGTGGATAAACACGGATAGTGCCCAGTGTTTGCTTTTCTATAGATGCCATAGTATTTATAAAGCATTTACCAGGTCATCAAAGATATCCCTTTGGTGCACATGGATAGTAATCAAAGTCTCATATTTAACTCGTTCCATGGAACTCAGATCCTTCGTCGTGATGCCTATCAATGTATTCAACAGCTCCAGAAAAGACTGATTGGTTTTCTGCATGATTTTTTTATCAAACTTGGCATTTCTGAGGGCTTCTTCTGAATCCCGTGTCCATATCATTTGAATTCCTAATAATCCAACCTTACGGAAACAAAAAAAGCCTTTATGAGTGTGTGTGACATATTAATATATTTAAATAGAAATTACAATATAGTGAATGATGGTGATTATTATGCAAATGTAAGGACATCCTTGATTATTTCAACTTGATTCATTGTTTGGAAACTGATGGAAACTCTATTCATAATGTTCCCTGGCAGTTACACATATACAGTCTCATGATGTGTCCACAATTTTTTCCTTGTAATTTTAAATCATTTATTGTTTAAGTCATATTTCTCCCTAGATAGATTTTAAATTACTGGAAGGGAAAGGACATGGCTTAAACCTGTTTTTCTCAAGCTAGCAGGGTTTACATGTGGTAGGTACCCACAAAATCTTTATTGATCATAATGGTTAAGAGAACATCGGTTTTTACATTTTAACACTAAAATACATTTCTCATCTTTCTGGCTAAGCATACGCTCAGTACTTTGTTATGATTTATTTACTAAAAAGATTCAGCAGGAAAAAGAAAAACCTTTTAGGTTAAAGAAAATATAAAGAAAATGTATCTATAAAACATGTGTAAGATGTTATTTATATTTATACATATGTATATAACCAAATAATCTGTAGCTGAAACCTTCAAGCGTATCTATATTAAGAAATCCTTAAGAAAATCTTAATACTGGTCCAGAGTTAAATTATAGTCAGTTGTGTAGTTTACAATAGGCAGTGTATGAGATCTACTATGACTATTCTGTAAAAAATATTTTCCAATTTAATACACTGACCTGAGCAGGGAAGGAAGAAAGAAATTCAATCAGCTGGAAACCTGTTTCTTGAATATTTGCAGCTGCCTGGCGAATCACAAGATGTAATGAGGACTGAGATTCCTCCAAGAGAGAATTAAGCCAAACTTCCACATTGCCCTCTGCCATCACAGGTTTATCCAAGTCAACCGTCTCACCCTCTCGAGAGGAGATTGACAGAATTCGATCATAGATCTACAATAGAAGCCAAAACAGAAAAGGAAAAAAAAAAAAAAGCTATATTCACATAAAGAATGAATTCCTCCACTGCCCTCTTGTCAGTGTTATCCTTCCTGAAGGAAGGTAAGCTATAGGTTATAAAATATGATTCAAAATCAATTTCAAGCCAAAAAAAAAGTCACCCATGAAATCGAAAAGGGAATACTTTCGAACTGAGATAAATCAATTCCAAATAATCTACACCTGAAAGGCAAAAACTTCCTTCCTAACAGAAATACTCAACATAAATGGGATGATCGGAACAAGTCTAGTTTCCGCCAATGAAGTGGGACACTGTAAGCGCCTGTCATCCACACCACAAGCTTATCGAGTCAACATTAGCAATGACCAGGCCAATATGATCAATGCAAACGCCTTTCCAGGTAATTCCAAGTCTGTACTAATTGTCCTCTTTACAGGAGCTCCTGGTGGCACATAACGTTTTCTTTTTCTTTTTTTTTTTAATGTTGTTTTTTTTGTTTTTGTTTTGAGAGACAGAGAGAGGAAGAGAGAGGCAGAGAGAGGGGGGAAACAGAGGATCTGAGGGTGGGCTCTGCGCTGACAGCATGGAACTCAGTGCAGGGGTTTGAACTCACGAACCATGAGATCATGACCTCAGCTGAAGTTGGACGCTTCACCAACTGAGCCACCCAGGTGCCCCGATGTTTTCTAATTCAAATCCAGCTCCTAATCTGGTCTTCTCACCTCAGTTTCCATGCAGCATGGCATCATGAGGATAGCATGCTATTTGCTAAAATACAGGTTCAAATGGTGCCCTGCCATTCATTGACCATGCGATGGTGGAGGACACATCTCTGAGACTAAATTTCTTGCTCATAACTAGTCATTAAAACCTACGCCTGTGCTGCTTCCCTACTCACTTCACAGGCTGTTCATAGCATACAATAAAATAAGGCAAATGATCAAGTAAGTACAAATTTGTTGTGTTCTTGTTCTTTAATAAGTGGGATACTGTTTCCTTGGGCTCCAATGTAGTACCGTATCAATGAATCCTCCTGTGTCGTAGACAGAAGTGGTCTACCAAGAAGCTAATGAGACAGAAGTTCCACAGCCTGTCACTTCCACGGGCCCTTTCCAAGTCCTGACTAGAGTTGTAGATTTATAATTTCACAGGAGTGAGGACCTACAAAAACTGGATCTGCCCCTGGTTGTAGAAATGTTATAGCAAGAGAAAACAGCAAAAAAGCGATGCTATTTACCTTAAGAAGTAATTGCTATGAATAGTGGCTAAAAATGAGGACGTTTAATTGATTCCCACTGTGCAATGAGACCGTGAGAAGCTGCACTCTAGAACCGTTCAGTCCTAGTGCAGAAGGATGTAAGAAAAGCATCGGGAAGAACTTCCTGTGTAATTCAGTGCCTCTTTCAACCCACACATCCAGTAGGTCTACAAGAAACAATGCTTTTGACCCACTGAATCCATACTGCCTTCCCTTCCTCTCTCCCCATTCGCCTTCATCAAGGCTTTGTTGTAGCACCTCAGCCTTTTCCATCCTGACTGGGTTCCATGCCTCCTTCCATTTCACCTCCTACACTGAGCCAGAGAATCTTTCTGAAACACAACTGGGTCACCGCCCTGCGTAACACCCTCCTGCACCTTCTGTCATGTTCAGGATGAAGTAGAATTCTGTAGTGTGATACACTTGGCCGTTTGGAATCTGATCCCATGTCTCCTTCTTCCCCTTCTCCCTTTGCTCATCGCTGCCCATCAGGGTTAAAACGTGTACCCCCGGGGTGCCTGGGTGGCTCAGTCAGTTAAGCGTGTGACTTCAGCTCAGGTCATAATCTCGAGGCTCATGAGTTCAAGCCCTGCTTCAGGCTCTGTGCTGACAGCTCAGAGCTTGGAGCCTGCTTCAGATTCTGTGTCCCTCTCTGTCTCTGCTCCTTGCCCATTCATGCTCTGTCTCGCTGTCTCAAAATAAATAAATGTTAATTTTTTAAATTTAAAATACATGTTGAAGTCCTAAGCCCAGAACCTGTGAATGGAACCTTATTTGGAAATAGGGTCTTTGTAGACGTCATCAAGTTACGATGAAGGTGGACCCTAATCCAATAACGTGTTTTTATAAGAAGCAAATCTAGACAGAGAGACACAGACACACAGGGCAAATATCATGTGAAGATAAAAGCAGATATCAACGTGACATGGGTATAAGCCAAGGAACATCCAGGGTTGCCAACCGCCACCAGAAACTAGGAGAAAGGCGGAGAATGAACTCTCCTTCAGAGCCTCCAGCAGGAACCAAGTCTGCTGGCATCGTAGTTCAGACTTCTAGCCTCCAGAAAGGTGAGAGAAGAAATTTCTGCTGTCAATCCAGAGCAGCCGTAGGAAACCGACCCAACCCCTCACATAGCCACACTCCCGACACCCAAGGCTGCCCACACTTTTCAGACCCTTGCACCTGCCCTTGCTTCTGACTGGATCATGCACCCCTTTCTCCACCTGCCTGGGTAGATTGCACTTGCCTTCAAATTATCAGTTCAAGTACCATACTGTCCCGCAGGGAGCCTTCCCTGACACCCCTTATACCAGGCTAAGGCTCCCTGACAGCATCCCCACGTTATTTGTGCATAACACTAGCACAGCAAGTCAGGAATTACCAACCGTTAAATGGCCAGATTTCTCATGAATGTTGCACGGCATAAAAACAACTTCAGTGTAATGATAAATTCTTCCTTGGAGCCCCAGGACTAGCACCATGCCTGACACACAGCCCCGGGCATGAACTTAAACGAATGGCTTTTGATCGCGTCCAATGTAATCACTCCACCACGGCACCAGCTGCACTCTAGAAACACCCCACCCGAGTGCGGATCCCGGAGGTCTCTGATTCTCGAGTTCAGCACAACATCTGGCGCATGGAAGTTGCTCCCCAAGAGCATGCCAGGATGAATAAGGGAGTGGAATTGAGGGTTTCCGGGAAGCCCCGGAGGACGACCGAACACACTGTCAAACTGGAAGGGCCTCTTTCCCAGGGAATTTGGGGTGAAGCGATGGATCAGGCAGTATCTTCTCGCAGCCATGAAACGCAACTTCCCTTACGTTGAATGGCTTCTCTTGGGTCCCCCACAACTCCATGACCCTAGAAACTTGTAAGGAGTGTTTCAAAAAAAAAAAAAGGCTTCAATCAAGCATGACGAGCACCAGGGAAGACGATCATGCCAAATACTTCTGAAACCTGATTAAAACAATCAAATCACTACGGCAATTCTGCTTCGTCAAGGGACTATTTTCTGAGCGATTGGTTTCTTTGTTTCGTTGAATTTCCCAACAGCTAACTTGGCATGTAAAACCATGAATGCTACATACGATGCATCCCTAATCATATTTACACTGTTCTTCAAATTTACACTTTGGATAGTAAGAAATCACACAATTCTGAAGGCACATTGGGCCCAAAAGTTTGTTTTTAATCACTAGCTGGGAGTAACCCTATGCAAACACAGCATCAGAGAGCGATTGTACAAAGACAAGGGAAGTTTAAGATATGGCAATTGCCCGCCAGCAGTTAGAATTAGGCAAACCTTTTCATGGAACTTGACAGTTTTGATGTTGTCAAACACATTCAGCAAATGGGCTTGTATCGTGTGTGTGTCTGATGCCTGCCCCAGGATCTCCAGAAGGGCGGGGTCCGAGACAAAGAAGAAGCGAGGAAAGCAAAGACGTTTTTTCTCCAAGTACCTAAGTGGAGAGGAAAAGAGAAGCTTTATAAACACACAAAGCACGCCTTTCTAGAAATAAACTCATCGGGACGGTGACAAGGGGGAAGGATTGTGAGACAACCAAATTTTCCCACACACTGTTCGATGGTTTTGTTCTGTGGTTCTTACTAATCTTGCCTAGTAGCATTCCGCATTTGGACGAAAAACAAATATTTTTTCCAGAACTGATAGGAGAGTTTCTTCATCTTTCACGAGTGTAATGCATACCCTTGAGGTAATCTGGAAAAGCTTGTACTTTCTTGGTGGAGGACGGGAGCGATCACACTCAGGGACTTTTGGAGGGGGTTGGGGGGGGTGGTCTTGTTGCAAGCACAGTGCTGTGTCAGCTGAAGGGTGCATCTCATTCTTGGAATTGTATCTTAAAGAATGCAATGAATCCATTACCGAAGCAGAAGGCAAAATCTAGCTCTGAATAAATTGCGTGAAGGGGCCCTGGCACAATTCTCTGCCTCCAGGAAATACTGAAACCCAGAGAATTTTCAACTGTGCTTTTGTTTCTGTATTTTGTTTCTATATTTGCTTTACTTTATGGTGTTTCTTTGTGTGACGGATATATTTTTCCTGGTTTTTTTTTAACGTTTAATTTTGAGAGACAGATAGAGCACGAGCGGGGGAGGGGCAGAGAGAGGAGGAGACACAGAATCTGAAGCAGGCTCCGGGCTCTGAGCTGTCAGCACAGAGCCCAACACGGGGCTTGAACTCACGAACTGTGAGAGCATGACCTGAGCCGAAGTCAGACGCTTAACCGACTGAGTCACCCAGGCACCCCTGTTATTTTCATATTAATACCTCTGTACCTTCATTTTCTTGCATCCTTCGATATACTTACTATAGTTTTCATTGTAATTTGTTTTTGAAACCTTACCAGAAATCCTTTTCAAGTGTTGTCTGTCTGAAAAATTTCTATTCCTTCCTCGCCACGTGTATTATTATTTGTTTCCTGTGTAAAATCATGAGGGAAATATTCTTATTTCACAGAAGCAGATTCTCTTCATAGGAAGGTAGGGTTTTTACCAAGGACAGTATGGACCAGAAGCTGGAGCCAGCTGGTGCCCTTGAGGGCATGCAAGGGGGACACTTGGCTGCCCATATTTAGTCAACTGCTGGACTTCTGTTTTGGTGAATGGTATGCCCAGCATGAGGGCAAGAGCTAAATTCCTTAAGACAGAAGACAGGACTTTTTTCAGAGGCTGAAAGAGGCAAAGAAAGGAAGGAAACAGAAGGATAGACTATGCTACAAGAGGTGCTCCGGGTGCTGGACGAGCTTTCTGTATGTGGTGTGATCTTCCTCCTGAGCTCTCATGGAACAATCAGTAAAATACACACTACAAACCATTGCTTTTGGCAATTCGGATTTATTCACTTTGGGCACGTGAAAAGGCACAAAATCTGGCCTCAAAGAGGGGGCAGGACAACGCTGCCCAAAGAGTCTCTGTTTACATCCCCCTCATTTTCTTAAACTCTTGCTTTTATGCTCGTGTTTGTTTGGGTTTTTTGAACATTTATTTACTTTTGAGAGAGGGAGAGACAGAGCATGACGTGGCAGAGAGACACGGAGACAGAATCTGAAGCAGGCTCCGGGCTCCGAGCTGTCAGCACAGAGCCTGATGCAGGGCTCGAACTCACACACCTTGAGATCACGACCTGAGCCGAAGTCAGATGCTTAACCGACTGAGCCGCCCATGCACCCCTGTGCTCATAGTGTTTTATGTTGTTTGTTTTTAGCTTTTTATTTTCCTTACTTTAAATAGGCTAGTTTTATTTTAAATATCCCAATCCATCTTATTTGTAGAAGCTTGATCTTTATTCTTTATTGAGAAAAGAATTCCTTATTCCTTGTTCTTTTTTTTTAATGTGTATTTATTTTGAGAGAGAAAGAGGGTGTGATCAGGGGAGAGGCAGAGAGAGGGACACACAGAATCTGAAGCAGGCTCCAGGCTCTGAGCTGTCAGCACAGAGCCCAACACAGGGCTTGAACTCACCAACTACAAGGTCATAACCTGAGCTGAAGTCAAACGCTTAATCAACTGATCAAATTTTTTAAATGCTTATGTATTTATTTTGAGAAGAGATAACACAAGCGGGGGAGGGGCAGAGAGAGAGGGAGAGAGAAAACACCAAGCAGGCCCCAAAGTGTCAGCACAGAGCCACACACAGGGTTCGATCTCACAAACCGTGAGATCACGACCTGACTTGAAATCAAGATTTGGACGCCTAACCGACTGAGACACCCAGGCGCCCCTCACATTTTTCTTTAAATTCTAGTTAGCTAACATTCAGTGCAATATTGGTTTCAGGAGTAGAATTCAGTGATTCATCACTTACATACAACACCCAGGGCTCATTATAACAAGTGCCCTCCTCAGGACCCATCACCCATCTAGCCCATCCCCCATCCACCTCCCTCCATCAACCCTCAGTTTGTTCTCTATCTTTAAGAATCTCTTACGGTTTATTTCCCTCTCCCTTCTTTCTTTTTTACAAAAATTCTTCTTTTGTCAAATGTCCTTCAACAGTTACTTGACTTGATTCAATAATTTTATGAAACATATCAAATCATGCATACCTGAAAACCTATTTTTCTAAAAAGTTATTTTGAAGGATTTGCTTGCAAATGGTTTTGCTTTAAAGTTAACATTTTGGGGCGCCTGGGTGGCGCAGTCGGTTAAGCGTCCGACTTCAGCCAGGTCACGATCTCGCGGTCCGTGAGATCGAGCCCCGCGTCAGGCTCTGGGCTGATGGCTCAGAGCCTGGAGCCTGTTTCCGATTCTGTGTCTCCCTCTCTCTCTGCCCCTCCCCTGTTCATGCTGTGTCTCTCTCTGTCCCAAAAATAAATAAACGTTGAAAAAAAATTTTTTTAAGTTAACATTTAAAGGGTGCTTTACCGACGCTTTAATTGTCTATGATCTTCGTGATTAATAATGTCTTCACAGGACAATTTTCTAAAGGAAAAGTATTAGCATAGGCCCATGGCATAAGCTGTTGGGATGCCCATCACCTAGATTAGAGTAAATTTGCAAATATTTGCCAAGGAAAATCTCGGCCCTAGTTCCATCTCCTACTGAACCTGCCTCCACATGTAGTGGGGTAGACATCCCTCTAGGCATGGTCTTGTTTAGGCTCTTCAACTTTCCTAAAAGCATGCCAACTTCATCACCCTCCCAGCTGAACACCAAAGTCTATGGATTTGTCTTTAACCAGCAGTGCCAATGGTCTATCACCTAGATTCTTGTCAGGGCTTAACATCCCTCACATTTCACACTGCCCCAGATCCTCTGTTAACTTGGATATACCAGTGATATTCATGAAGGAGTTCCTGAAGAGTGTGCAGGCATCCCATCGCGACTTCCCTGGATCAAGCCATTCGATCATAATGTCTCCCACTTGACTCACACGGGGGTAAAGCAAGTAGGTGAGGATTCTGCTGAGTGTTCCCATTATAGAGAATGCACAATAGAGTATCGCCCAAGGTGTCAATTTAAAACAAACAAAAAAAAATGTTGTTTTCCTGAGCAACTGGAACCTTTCATTTTATGCATCGTCTGAATGCTATACCTAATCGTACATCACTCTTTCCTTTGTCCCTGGGAAAAAAGCCTTTGGTCTCTGAATCTGAGGTCCATTTATAGCTTCTTTTTGAGACAAGTTTACCATCTTTGGTTTTTATCCTTTCCTTTCACCTTAATTTTCTCATTACTTTATTATTTTCCAGCAGCCACCTCAAAAGCCACTTAACCAGCCAAGCATAAGTAAGTAAGCCCCCTCCCTTACATGTTACCATACAGGTGTTTCTTCTATTTTCAGCTCAGTCACGTTTTTGGCTCAAGTTTAAGCAACACCTCTACTTACTTCACAGAGATCCTTCCAAAGTGCCATTTGAGGCTCAGAATTTTAACCACCACCCATGACTCTGAGCACAGCCTGGCTTAGGTGCCCTCGGTTGCTCAGTGCACAAGACAGCTGCCTAGTCACAGGTGGTGTTATAGGTACTGTTGTAGGTCGTGAGAACATGGGGGCGTTGGTATGGGGAGGCGGCATCCATCTCCCAGAGTTAGCCAAGGAGACATCATCACTTAGTTGGAGTTAGAAGCTCAGAATATGTGGCATGTCAGTGTCAATGTACATCTCAGCACAATTAGCATCCCTGATGCTGCTCCCACTCGTGACTACAGATGATCGTGACAGGGAATTTTATGTGTCAACTTGGCTGGGCCACGGTACCCACGTATCTGGTCAGACTTTGTTCTAGATGTTTCTGTGAAGGTTTTCATTTTAAAGTTTATTTACTTATTTTGAGAGAGACAGAGAGAGAGTGAGCAGGGGAGGGGCAGAAAGAGAGAGGAAGAGAGAGAAGTCCAAGCAGGCTCCATGCTGCCAGCTGCAGAGCCTGACACAGGGCTCGAACCCACAAACCATGAGATCATGACCTGAGCCGAAACCAAGAGTCAGATGCTTAACCAACTGAGCCACCAGGCACCCCAGTGTAAAGGTATTTTTAGCTAAGATTAACATTTAATCAGAAGACTTTGAATAAAGCAGATTATCCTTCATAATGTGGGTGGGCCTCAACCAATCAGGCAAAAGCCTAAAGAAAAAAAGACTGACAGCCCCTAGAAGAAGGAATTCTGCCAGCAGACTGCCTTTGGGCTTTAACTGAAGCAGGTCATCCCTGTGTCTCCAGGCTGCCAGCCTTCCCTGTAGATTTGAACTTGCCAGTCTCCTCCATCACATCTCTCTCCCTCAGTCTCTCTCTCTCTTCTTCTCTCTCTCTCTCTCTCCACCCCCAACCATGTGTATACACACCCTACTGATTCTATTTCTCTAGAGAACTCTGACCAGTACATAACCAACAGTTTATCCTAAATTTCTCCATACATACTGACTATTCTAAGATTGAAGGGGGGATATTTAGGGACACCTGGGTAGCTCAGCCAATTAAGTGTCCAACTCTTGATTGTAGCACAGGTCATGATCCCGGGGTCAGGGTATTGAGCCCCGTGCCAGGATCTGTGCTGAATGTGGAGCTTGCTGGGATTCCCACCCCCCCCCCGCCCCTCTCCCCTGCTCGTGCGCGCGCTCTCTCTCTCTCCCTAAAGTAAAAAATAAAAAAAAAAATGCTTAAAGGGGAGATACTTATTTTTTTAATGTGAAATTTATTGTCACATTGGTTTCCATACAACACCCAGTGCTCATCCCAACAGGTGCCCTCCTCAATGCCCATCACCCACTTTCCCCTCCCTTCCACCCCCCATCAACCCTCAGTTTATTCTCAGTTTTTAAGAGTCTCTTATGGTTTGCCTCCTTCCCTCTCTGTAACTTTTTTCCCCCTTCCTCTTCCCCATGGTCTTCTGTTAAGTTTCTCAGGATCCACATAAGAGTGAAAGAGAAAGAGGAGATATTTAAAAGCATGTATATTCCAGCTATAATATAAATAAGTCATGGGGATATATTTTACAGCATGGTGACTATAGTTGAAAATACTCTATTTCATATTTGAAAGCTGCTAAGAAAGTAGATCTTGAAAGTTCTCATTACAAGAAAAATAGTTTGTAACTATGCACGTTACGATGGACGTTAACTAGACTTATGGTGGTCATCATTTTGCAATATATGCAAATCTCAAACCACTATGTTGCATACCTGAAACTAATGTAATGCTGTATGTCAATTATATCTCAATAAAAATAAACAATACAGAAAATCATGTGTAGTTAACTGTTTTTGGAATATTCACTACTATTCAACATATTTCTGCTTACATGATTTATCTTGATTAGCCAAAGGGAAAGAAAAGAAAAATATATGTTACTCTTGGAATTCACCCCGCCTCCTATACACGTGTGTGTGTGCACGTGTGTGTGTGTGTGTGTGTGTGTGTGTGTGTGTGTGTATACACTGATAGATATATGAGGCTCTTGTTTCTGTATAATCTTGACCACTTGTGTACATTACACTGTTCATAATGTTCTTGGTTGCACCTAATGAAATATTTTGACTCTTCAGATGCTTATCCAAGAAGAAAATCAGGAAAGTAGCTGTATCCATTTTAAAAGGCAAGGACTATATGAGAATTTGCAAGACTTTGTCCCAGTGGATGGAAGAAGCCCTGAGTCCTATTATTCCAACATCAGAACAAATCCAGCAAGGGCTTGGAGATAATATGAGACTCCAAGCTACCGGTTTTACCTATGCAACAACATCAGACACGAATTACGTTTTAGCAAAAGAAAATCAATATGGCTAATGCTGTCTAGTCCCTCTGATCCCTTTCATCTCTAGGACGCTAAGGGAGCCTTCACAGAGCCAGTAAACTTACCCAGTGAGGGATTTCTGGCACATTTCCAACTGGTCCAGCAAGTGCGGTAACAGCTGCCCCATGGTCTCATCTCCAACACAACACTGAACCACATTTGGCATTTCATGAGCCCGAGTCATAATCTTCACCCAAGATTTATCGATGTTGGAAAAGCGCTTGGCTTCCTACAAGAACGAGGTAACAAAGCCCACTTGGACACATCTGTGATCTCAAGGAAAGCGCATCTCACATACCTTCTGCTGAGGCCAGATTTCTCCCCAGTCTGGATATCCCAACTTTACATGCCTAAAATGTCACACATGTTCTATTTCGATTCTCCTTTTGCACCATCCCACCCCCTTTCTTAAATAAGGTCCCCCCATTATGTTAACTGAAAGCAGAAGACAGACACAGAAATGAAAATACAATATGAGACAGCTTGGAAGAGACAAGCACTCCCAAGTGTTTTTGCCAGCTATCCCTAAATGAAGTGAATTTTATGTTTTTCAAGTTTTCTACACTGAGCACTGAATTGTTTGTATATTTAGAAATGAAAACATTTAAAAATAAGATACAAAACTAATTACGGTATAACCCTAATACTGTGAAATTTTTAAACATAGATTTTTTTTTTTCAGAAAAAAAATTGAAAATGCGCAGAGGACTTTGAGAGAATAGAAATAAGGTTTTCCTTCTTCCCTAAAACTTTCTGTAGTTTACCAATAGGCATGTACTATCAAATATGAGAGCAAGAGACCCCACCGAGCTCCTTGAATATTGAATGTGAAAGTTGCCAGTATTACATACAATTTGAGATTCCCCACCACCCAGCAAGAAGAAAAACATGCCCAAATATAAAAGCAGAAATAAAGAAATAAGTAAATAAATACTTAAAGTTTCAGTGTGTGGATACATTCCACCGGTAGGTGAAAAATACATCGGCTAACAGATCCATCCTCTTTAATGAAACTGAAAACTCACCACAGGGACAGCTAGGAAGACTGAGCAAAAAAAACACTCAACACAACCGTGTTTCTAAAACTCAAATATATCATTAAAACATTATAATTTTGCAAACGATTTAAGGTAGTTGAATAAGAATCCTTGAGATTTGGTAAGAAAAATGTTTTTGATAAAAATTTCAAAATACTACACTCCATATTCCCCATAAGATGATTAAATTTGATGAGAAAAAAAACATGTTCCACGATCTTGAGAAGAGGGCCTTTTTGTTCTGGAGTTTCTTTTTTCTGCCTGTTTCCACCCCCCCAGTTTTCCAGTACAGATATAATTGGGTGAATTATATAGCGTGAGTTGTTTTAAACTGTCAGTAGTAACAGAACAAATTATCCTGCCATTGTCGAGATAACTACGCCATAATTCCGCACTGCTCCCAAATTCTACCTTCAAATTACCTAAAGTGTATCAATTATGCAGACATTCCTTTTCTTTTTTAACCCTCTGTTTCCCACAAAACCACACGGTTTTGTAGCCTTCACACCCTTACTTTTCCACAATCGCTCTCTCCTTATAAAACAGTTCAACAACAACAACAAAAACGTTGGGGAGGGTGTGGCTCCAGAGAAATTGAAATATTATTGCATTTTTGAAGGAATTATTAGTTATTAGAGAATTCTCTGAGTTAAAACCCTGATGAAACCATAAGGAAAATTCTGAAACCTTGGGAAGCTGCTTGGCAATATCTCCTCCCACAAAGACAGCTTCTAAGTAAATCCACAAGTTCTGCACCATCATCCAGCTCTCAATGATGTCTGTTGAGTTGGAAAGGTACTGCACCCATTTTTGGATCTGGGCCTTGAACGGCATATTGTACCTAAAATGAAAAATACAGTCAGCATTTGGGAGGTTTTTTTGGTGTTTTCTTTTTTATTGTTGTTGTTTTCAAACTAAAAGATTTTATTTAATCCTAATTTTTACCTGTTTCTTTACAACTGGGATTATGTTGTGCTGGTTTTGAAAATGATGCTACTTGGGGCACCCGGGAGGCTCAGTCAGGTCAGCATCTAGCCCTTAATTTCAGCTCAGGTCATGACCTCACGGTTCATGGGATCGAGCCCCACGTCGGGCTCTGGGCTAACAGTGCAGAGCCTGCTTGGGATTCTCTCTGCCCCTCCACGACTCTTTCTCACACCTTCTCTCTCTCTCAAATAAATAAACTTATTTTTTTTTTTAATGATGCTACCAAGTGACTAAATCATCATCATTTACTGGACATTGTTCGACTTTTCCTGTTTTGATCCAGAGCATAAACAGGTGGGAGATGTGTCATCTGAGGAGCAGATCAGGCATTAGACTTGATTCCACACAACTGCTAGAGTAATAAAATTGGGGTCATTGTTGCTACAGGCAAGCGAGTAATAGTCTCTCTGCTGACCTTTGTGTCTTCTCCAGGGACTCTCTCTGGTTTCTCACATACTATGGGGCAATTACAGAGACACTGGTGGGGATCAAACAACCAATTCAATTTTCAAATATGTTAATACCTGCAATCTCTCTCTAGCCTCCCCCTTTCTGGGTCTCTTTCCAACTCCCCAGGCACTCAAAACCACCCACTCGCGTGTGTCTGTGTATGTGTGTGTGTGTGTGTGTGTGTGTGTGTGTGCATGTGCATGTGCTTGTGTGTATATGTGTGTTAGGGCTCATGCATGTCTACGTGTAATACTCTGATAGTCACTCTTTAGTCTCTCCTATAGTTAATCTATCTTCCCTTTTTCATTCTTGAGAGAGAAACGGATCATGGCCTTCCAGTGTTTTTTTCCTTTTCTCTTTAGATATAGGACCCCATTTCTACCTGGAAACGTAAGTGCCCAGTTAAAATACTGAATTTCCCAGCCTCCTCTGCAGCAATGGGCAGGGCCGGGACTAAGTTCCACATCAGTAGCTCCCAACCTTGGCTGTACTTTGGGGACATCCAGCAGACATTAAAAACTACTTGGGCCTGGGCACTGGGGTGGCTCAGTCGGTTGAGCATCCGACTTCGGCTCAGGTCATGATCTCGCGGTTTGTGAGATCGAGCCCCACGCGGAACACTGTGCTGACAGCTCGGAGCCTGGAGCCTGCTTCCGATTCTGTGTCTCCCTCTCTCTCTGACCCTCCCCCACTCATGCTCTGTCACTCTCTCTGTCAAAAATAAATAAACATTAAAAAAAAAAAAAAACCCTACTCAGGCCTGCCTGGGTCCCACCCCCAAAAGACTCCAATTCAATCAGTGTGAGATGTGGCCCAGGCACTGGGATTTAAGTTCCCCAGGCGTCCAGTAAACAGCCAAGTGAGGACCACTCTCTTGGGTAAGAAGTGGGTGGCAGCATTGTATGGAAGGGGAAGTTAGGGGAAGGGCCACCCCTGGAAAAGACAGAAGGGTGAGCCTGATAAAGCTTAGGTCCCTGATGATGAGGTGGAGCCTGCTCTCTACCCTGAACCATCAACCTTGGAGCTTCTTTTACGTGAGAGCCGCATAAACTTCAGTTTTGTGCAGGCAATGTTTCATGAGGTGCTTCTATTATTTGCAGACAAAATTCTAATAATTGTACTCCCTGTCACTGTTTTTCCTTTTTCTTTGCCCTTAGGGATCCCTCCATTCCAACAGACTACAGACTTAAATCTTTCTCAAATATTAGTCATATTCATTAATAAAATTTTCATTCCCACAGTCCTAATTGTGAAACAGACTGTTTTAATATTCCACATCTTTCTGGGTTTTTTTTTTTTTAAATTTACGATTTTCACTACAATGCGGTTCCATAGCAACAGAGAACACTGTTTGATTTGCTCTTCTGTCCATAGCACCTAGAAAAGTGTATGGCACATAGTAGGTGTTCAATAGATTTGTACTGAATACGTGTTCCTCACACAACTCTCATCTGTGGATTCACTGCCATCGGTAAGGACAGTTTCCCCATCCCTAACATAGTAATTTTTACTTAATTTGTATGTGTTCATTTTCTACCTCCCTAGGATGTGTTATTTTCCATCTGTCCTTCATTTATTTGGGTATGAATAGCAACCAAATTCATTCAAACTCACCAAATCCTAAGTACTTCAGAGTCAAGGTTACCAATGGTCTAAATCTCTAAGACCAAATTTTATATCCCATATTACTCACTTCAAACACTTGGGTGTACCAAGCAAAAGTGAAGAAGAGAAATTTTTATCAAACAGTGTTAAGTGGTTATTAATCCCTACATTAAACTTATTCATATACATATACACACAGAAGAGACTGACGTTCGAAAGACAGAATGCAGTAAACTCGTATCTCAATGATACCCACATGCTACACAATTATTATATATCTGAGAAGATCCTGGTGAACAAAAAATTATTTCAGGAGGAGCAAAGGGAAGCAAGGAACCAAGGAAATGTTAAGCTCATGAGTCTAAGGCATGTGCATCCAAAGCATGATGATTTTGCAGTTAACTGCCAAACAGAAGTGTTAGACTCGTATCGGTCTGTGCTGTTTTATTTCTCTTTATGAATTAAATTCACTCTCTATCTTAATCTGTCATCTCATTAAAGTATGTACACAACTAAGAGTTTCTAGTCCACAGATGTTGGCACAACGATTTCCCAAGTAGAACGATTATTCCGAAGCTCAGCCTAATTTCCCCTGGACTCCGGAGCCTGTCAAGCTGTCAGCTGTGCGGTGAGGCTTGTCAGCTGCAAAGTTGAAATGTTCCGCAAGATCCAAGTGGCTAATTACATGTTGCATTATTTTGTCCAGTTGATGGTCTCAGACACATCCCACAGTAGAAGATAATGAAATAAAAACAGCATTACACATGCTGTGCCAAGGGCTAAAATTACAACACGGATTTTTAATGTTAAATAAATTGTATGGGGGCCATTGCTGCATTGTTTAATATTAATTTCCCTTAAAACGTTTGTTGCGGTGGTTCCCACATCTCAGGGGAAAGATGGACGGACTTCCTACCTGTTGCTCAGTAGAGAGCCTAGCAACATCAAGCTGTCCTCCATGCTGGTGATGATTTCTGAGGTGCTGTCTCCCCGCAAGAGGAGCTCTCCACGGGCTTTAAAGCTGCCAAATGTGAATGTTTTGCTGTCCCACTCGTTCATCACTTGCTTCAGCTTGTGCTCGATGTCTCTCTCTTTCACCGCACTGATACAGATGTCCTATTAAAATTGCAAGCTCTAGCTTTACCACATGAAAGTCACACGTCCTTCGTGAACAGTCCAGATTCAGCAGAGGTCCTAGCCTCACTGTTTGCTTCATACGTATCTAAAAATACTTTTCCCGCCCAGCTCTAAAATGCAACATAACAAATGGTGTATATGTATATAGATCGAGATTGAGGGAGAGAGATGAAGATGTATTACTAAATAACAGAACCTTAGTTTGTAAAATGTCCCGCCACACTCTTCCAGAGAGAAAGATGACACAAAAGGTACGCAACAACAGAACACCGTGAGAAAGGACATCCTGACATTTGTGACAACGTGGGTGGACCTTGAGGGCATTAGGCTGACATAAGTCAGACAAGTAAAAATACCATATGCTATCCCTTGTATGTGGAAACCCTTATATGTGGAACCCTCAAAAACACAGAGGGTAGAGTGGTAGTTACCAGAGGCCAGGGATGGGGGAACAGAAGAGATGTTGGAAATCTAACACACAGTACAGTGATAGTAGACAACAAAACTGTATCATAAATATTAAACTTCCTAATAGACTAGAGCTTAATTGCTACCACCACTAGAAGAAATGATCATTATGTGGCATAACCCAGGTGTTAGCTAACACTCCAATGGCAATCATGCCACAATATAAATGTATCAAACCAATATGTTATATACCTTCAACTTACACAATGTTATATGTCAATTATATCTCCATTTGGATAAAAAAAAAAAACACATGTGTGATAACCTTGTAAATTTTGAAACTCTAATCAAAGACCCAAAATTTAATGTGTCTCTGATTTAACTCTAGAGCCAAATCAATGCGGTATGAGAGGAGAAAATGAAGAGAAACCTGACTTCTTCCAAGTCTCCCTCCACTTTCCCAGTCTCCTCTGCAGCCACGCTTTTTCCTGGACCATTAGTCAAGCCCCATCCTTGCCTCTTCTCGTCTCATGCTGCACTCTCTCTGCATGCACCCTCTCTGCGTGAGCTCATCTATGCCCACACAGTCTGTAACCTCTTGTATCTCCCGGTAAGACCCCCCATCCATTTGCCTATTGGGCCTCTGTGTTTGGATCTAACCAAGGGAATCCCAAACACATTCTGTGAAATATCAAACTCATGCCCCAAATTAAGCTCTTTGCACTTTGTCGCTCAACTGATTCCCTTCCAATAATTCCCTATCTCCGTGATGAGCACCATCATCCACCTTGATCTCTCAGCAGGAAATCTAAGGTTTACCCTAGATTGTTTCTCCTACCATGTTCCCTCTCTTGCCAAGTTCTCCCTGGCTCTACATTCTAATGATCTCGTTGATCTTTTCTCCCTTCTCCAGCTTCACTACCTGCCCCCTCATCCAACACACCATTGTCTCTCGTCTGGGATATTCTTATAATCCCCTAGTTGGTTTTCCCACCATTCTCACTTGCCCTCCCCCCAATCCTTCCTCCACACAGTTACCACAGCGATCTTTACAAAATGCAAATCTAACCATGTCATCTCTGCTCAAAACATATCTCCCAGATGGCTCCCCATTGGTCTCTCCACCCTGGTGTTCCCTCTGGTTCCCAAACACACTTCAGACCCTTCACACATGCTGTTCCACATGCCTGACATTGTCTTCTTTGCCCTTTCCAAGTCCCTCAGCCTCACCACACGCGCACATTCCCTCCCCAGCAGTCATGGGCGTGTGTCTCAACTTCCCTACCTTTACCACCCATCACCCCAAACAGGTCAAGCCCATTACTATGGGCTGTCATAGAACAGATGCTTTTTACTTCAATGGTGTTTACCACATTGTGTAACTATACCCTTAATTGTGTGTATTATTTAACTCTGCAAGTTATTTAATGATCTATGAATGAAGGAAAGCATCTGTATGTCCCCAGCACTCAACACAGAACCTGTCACGTAAACATGTGTGGAAGGAATGAATAGCTGGATGCCCAGAAGAGTTTTAATTGTCCTGGTATGGTTTTCAGGTCCAACATTCCATAATGTAGGAATACTGTCAAAATAAATCCCATGAGACCTTCCAATCTCCCACCACATCAGGTAATCCTATGAACTGTACCTCTATTTCTTCTTTGTATTTCAGAAGAGGTGCCTCCATGATATTTCTTAACTTAAAAGTTTCATTCCCCACATCCAGATTATGGCCAGTGAGAGCGGCTATCCTTTCCCAGTGCCTGTCCATCATGGCCTTACTGGCCATGTGCTCCAGGAGTGGGCAGCACTCACTGAAATCATCAATGGTCTTCTTCAGATCCAAGAAAGCCTGCCAGTCCTTCAAGGCCCGGGGCAGCTTCCGACACCTGCAAAGGGAGTCACCGTGAATGGTCATTCAAAGAGGAGCCTGAGTGTCTCCACTCCAAGCTTGTCTACTAGCATTCGATCAAAAACCAGTCACTTCAAATACCTACCACACTTCCGTATCTCATGATTCAAATGATATCTGTTAATCTAACATGCTTTTACATTAGAGAAAACTGCTCCTCCCAATTGGGAAAGTGTGGTGTTTTGTTTTGTTTTTTCAATTCCCTCGTAACACTTAGCTGGGTAAAAAGGCATTATTTTAAATGACGGAGGTGCCTCCCAATTCAATTCAGTTCTACAAACACGTATTGAGATCCTCCTAAGTACAAAGCACAGCGGAGTGTATCAGGCCGACAACCAAAAAACACAACAAATGACCCTGTATTTTCTTTGGGTTCAACACTTAAATCATAGGGCTCTTGCTTTTATTACAGGAAGTCATCTCACATAAACTTCAAATGTTTGATAAGTGTAGTATAAAGAGAGATCAGCTCCCTCCAGGATGCAGAAGAGCCCCTGACAAAATTCATCCAGGTTTAAAGGACGCGTTTGTCTTACCACGTACACACAGGGGTAATTAATAAATAGCGTCTGACAAGGGTGACGTCAACGGACAACAGCAATGCAGCCTGATGTGCTTTCAAAACATCTGGGAGTGAAAAGAGAACTTGACAGTCTATCAAAGAAGAAAGCATTTAAGATTCAATAGCTCGGGGCATGCTAAACATTTAATTTCTCACCTGTTCTGGAACTCTGAAAGTTCACTGTTGATTTTTTCAATATTCACTTCCGACCAAAGCATCTCATGATAGCTATTTACAGTTTCTACGACGCTGTTGTATAGAGAGTATATTTTCTGTAGAAGATTTAATTGCTTCTTTATTTCAAGAAGCTGAGGATATGGAGTAACTGGCAGTCCAAAGAGCTCCTCTCCTCCGGAATAGGTGATGTATTTCCGATAGATATTATCAAATTGATTCTAAAGAAAACACCAGTGAAAACTCAGCAAGATGATTTGCACATGAATAGACAGGTAAACTTAAAAACTGGCAAATAAGCAAACATGTATGATTTCAGAGCACATGTAAATAAGAATAGTAAATAACTATAGTCAATTAAATAGACACCATCTCCAAATATAATTATCCCAAATCACAACTTTTATTTTTTTTTATTTTTTTTTTTAAATATTTTTTTTTTTAATTTTTTTTTTCAACGTTTATTTATTTTTGGGACAGAGAGAGACAGAGCATGAACAGGGGAGGGGCAGAGAGAGAGGGAGACACAGAATCGGAAACAGGCTCCAGGCTCTGAGCCATCAGCCCAGAGCCCGACGCGGGGCTCGAACTCACGGACCGCGAGATCGTGACCTGGCTGAAGTCGGACGCTTAACCGACTGCACCACCCAGGCGCCCCAGCAAATCACAACTTTTAAAAATATTCCACAATAGGCTTTTCCATATTAAGGGGAAAAAAATGTGTGTGTCTAAAACATGTTAAGGTTTTGGTTGTGTAGAAGGTCATAGAAACCAAAAAGATTACCTGAAATATGATAAGCCTATCACTGGCTTCCTGGGGTTTTAAGCCACTAGCCATTGGACCATTCTGAAACAAAAAGTTAAACACAAAATAAAAGGAAGTGTTGTATTCAAATTTCTTGAGCTCAAAGTATATGCACATCAAAGCTAGTTTTCATTCACGTCACATCAATGTTAGGAAACTTCGTTCTTTAATTGTAGAAAAGGACTCAGGGAAGTGACTCATTTGGAAATATTTTCAAGTAAAAAAAGCCAAGTTAATACCACACCTTCTAATTTCAGGAAATTCTTAAAATTAAAAATGAGTACTTCTCATTTCTTAGGCGACCAGGCGAGGAAGGGTCAGTAAGCAGTCTATAGGAAGCACGTATCATGCCTGGTTTTGAACTAAAACACCAATGCCACGGAACTCACAGCTCTTAGCATTCTAATATTTATTTGCAGAGTGACATAGAATCTTAACATTCCAGTCGGGCTTTCCTACATTAGAACGCCTTCAATACGTGGACTTCTGTGCTGCTTCATCCATGTTAGTGCATGGATCCAACCTCATAACTTCGTTAACTTTGTGGTCTTGTGTGTTCCTACTTAACAGGTACAAACTGTACCCTTCGCATATTTCCTTTCTCTAGTGTATTATGATCGGTTAGAAGTGGCTCTTAGTGCACATACTCCTAGTGCAGAAGAGTCTGCACTAAAACTCATAAATGAAGGACTAAAACAGGAACTCATCTGTCTTGTCCACGTTGGTGTCTTCCGCACCAAGGTCAGTGCCTGCCACACGCTGGGTGCTCTACAGTGTTTGTGGAACTAGGGAAAGCTGCAGAAGGATGACATTTAACCACATGTGAACAGGATTTGGCCACACAAAGTTAGAAAGCTACCAAACAACTTCAGGAACAGACCAATGATATAATATGGATTGCACTTTTAGATTCCTCATTTCCTGGATTGCTCTCATGAAAATGAAACTCCCATTTCATTCATGAAACTCTCTAGGGAGAGTCTTGAAACTTGGCATAGAATCTTTATGCACTTTGCCAGCTCTATTGACTCTTCCCAAAAATACAAACAGGAAAAACCAGAGTTGTACCAAATCATAGTCCAAGTAGAAGTGGTGACAGTCTCGGAGGAAGACCTCCACGGTACTAATTAGCTCCTTCCTGAAACGCGGCTGCAGTGAGACTAATTCGTTCTGAACTTCACTGGCACGTGTCAGAAGCTTCTCCCAAGAATAGCGCAGAGTATCAACTTTGTCCATCTCTTCCTTTGTTATGAGAAGACCGTATTTGTTAAGCAGGGCATAGGATTCCTACACAAAAGAAGGAAAATTTAATTTCTGCCGGTCAGATGCATAAATCTACTCACTCACTTATTAAAGTGATAGAATGGAAAAGATCGGTATGATAGGGAAACTACCCCGAGAGTTCTTTCCTTCTTGCAAACCATAAAAGCTTAAATGAGCAACCGAGCCCCTAAGCTTCAGTTTCCTCTACGGTAAAATGAGAAAATTCCTGGCTGCTTCACAGGATTTTTGTGAATATCCACAAATATCATTTTAAATGAATTTCAAAAACTATAAACCATTATGCAAATAAAAGATATTTTTATTTAGGCCCCTAAGTTGTATTTCAAGACTTCGAGATGAAAAACAGAAGATAATCTAACTGCTAATATTAGCATAATAAAATAAATCCGGGTTTTAACTCTATGCCATTTCATTTTGTTGGTAAGAGGTTCCAATAGTAAGACACACAAGGGTACTGCTGCATCAAAGCCTGAGCCCAGTCATTGACCTCAAGATACAAAATCCTCGACTACTCTCTTGGCTAAAAGAGTTTGGTTTTCATGAGAAAGGATTTTCCCTAAATATCTCTGCCCTCCTCTCCCGGCATTAGTTCTCTACATACAGGTGGAACGAATACCTGATCATTAATTTGGGTAAAAGACTTGATGTGGGCAAGCCTAGCCCAGTGCCTTTCTCCCTCTTTCTTCTTCCTTCTTGAAGGCAACCCACTGGTCTGCCCTCCAGTGTCAATAGAGTGAAGCAGGGTGGGGTGCCTGAATGGCTCAGTGAAGCGTCCGACTTCGGCTCATATCACGATCTCACGGTTCGTGAGTTCAAGCCCCATGTCGGGCTCTGTGCTGACAGCTCGGAGCCCGGAGACTCCTTCCGATTCTGTGTCTCCCTCTCTCTCTGCCCCTCTACCACTCATGCACGCTCGCTCTCTCTCTCTGTCTCTCTCTCTCTCAAAAATAAAGCATTAATTTTTTTTTTTAAATAGAGTGAAGCAGGGTAATAGAGGGGCCTGCAGCTTTTCAATTCTGCTTCTGACGCACAAATAAGTTCAACAATTCTGGGATGTAGTCATCACAAGCAGTGTGTGTGCATGGATTTGTGTGGTAATGGGAATATGGGAGTTTGTACACTAAGCCATGTCTTCCAAATAAGTTCTATCAGGAACAAAAGGTTGTATTTTTACCTTGACTATTTGACTACAGTTTTGTCTGAATGCTCAGACAGGGGGAAACAGGGGTGTCGGTTACTGGGCCTTCCCTTCAAATGCCCAGGGACGCTCCTGGTTCTACACAAAGCAGGGACTCTTTATCTTATGTTTCAATTCCCAAGAAGGGCACGGTGGGCCACATGATTTTCCTGACCCAATACGGCAAAGGTGCAAGCATTTAATTATCTGAACCATTTTCATGGTTGTTTGAAACTTTCCAAAATTCAAAGAGGGGCACAGAAAATGTGAGACTGGTATACAATCCTCACCATCAGAATTTAAGTCCAGGGGTGCCTGGGTGGTTCAGTCAGCTAAGCGTCCAACTCTTGGCTTAGGCTCAGGTCATGATCTCACGGTTCGTGAGTTTGACCCCTGCATGGGGCTCCACGCTGACAGCATGGAGCCTGCTTGGAATTCTCTCTCTCTCCCTCTCTTTGCCCTTCTCCTGCTCACTCTCTCTGTCTTTCTCTCAAAATAAATAAATAAACTTAATAAAAAAAAAATTTTTAAAGAATTTAAGTCCAGACATTTAAGTTATGAAGTGCTAAAATGGCATTTTTTTTTTCTGGAATCATTTTAATGCTATAATCATACTGGTTTCATTCAAAAGAATAATACAGTGATCCGTTCCTGAGCAAACAATTTCATACAGGAGAGAAAATATGATACAGCATAATTATAAAAGAAATGTGTAACACATATCAAGCTGAATAATTGCTTTGACCCTTGGTTTCCTTATGTTAAACGAGGTGTTGAGTAAGGATTAAATGTGTTAATACAGAATTAATACATGAATGGACACTGTTAGTACCTATAGGGACCAAAATGTGCCACTTTGCCACATTATTTTGAATCAAAGTCACTTAAGAAATAGCCAATTCAAAAAGAACTCTCTGACACGCTGCCCGACTTTTTCTCCAGAAACCAGGAAATAAATCTCCTGTGTGAAAGGCAGCCTCTCAGAACCAGGAGGTAAAGAAACATCCTTATCACCAGGGATAGGACATTTAGAGCTGAGAAGGCTATATAACAACCCTTGTTTCTTTTTACTAATTTACTACCACAGCCCAAAACTTAGTCAGAATTCCTTACTAATTGAAGCTCCCAAAGTTCAGTTTTCTTCATCCTGTCAATTCCTCACGGATTTATTGTCTCTTTGTCTGAAAAGCATAAAAACGGCCTGCCTTGGTCATTTCTTTAGGTCTCAATTTCATTATTGGGCCTCTGTGTGCACATAGTTAAACTTTGGTTTTACTCCTATTAGTAGGTCTCACGTCAATTTAAGTTTTAAACCAGCTGGAGAATCTTGAAGGGTAGAGGAAGAATTTTTCCTCCCCTACAGTTGCATCCAGGTTCTGTTTTCCAGCTGGTATTCCCATCCTGACTGCTAGGAGTACTGTCTGGGGTAATGGCAGCTGCCTCTTTCCCTGGAAAACTGTCCTCAGCTAAATGGGAGTCTCCTCCTGGGGAGATGATGGTCAATAACCAACTGTCTCAGGGGTACAAAGGGCAGTCTCCCTTCCCTCAAAGTGGAAGCAACTGTGTGGAATTCATGCTCCAGAGCACCCTGTGGGAAATCTGTCTACAGCTAAGCTCACACTCTCCCTTAGCTCCCCCACCTCTGACCTGACCTCATCATTCCTATTTCCCTCACACTCCCTTCTCCTATGAGCACTTATCAGTAGATCACTTGTACAGAAATCCTCATCTCAGGCTCTGCAGTTAGGGACTTTAGATGCCATGCAAAGGTCTAGAACTGGCCCATAGAAGGTACCCTGTAAGGTTAGGTATCATCATTACTGAAATTATTCTTAGGTTAAGCATCCATCTGTAACCACCATCCCTACAGTCCACAGCTAGTCAATACTTCAGCTAATATCACTCAACATGATGAGCTATTCCCATAATGAACCAATGATTATCAGTTACCTCAATAGGTCCTACTTGAAAGTCAATGGAGATTTGCTGCTCCCGGATTTCTTTCAGTGCTGCCATAGCAATCCGAATATCATCCAGGTCTTTAATCTGACGATTCAGTTTTTTATTGAATTCTTCAATAAGTGTAAAAATGTTTTCCATCTCACTCCTGTACTTTTTGTTACAGTGACGACCGATGACGGCCATCCAGGCCTTTGTCTCAGCAGCCAGAGTGAACTTCAAGTCAGCTGTAAAACCCAAATGTCCACAGTTCAGTTTGAAAAACTTGAACCAGTATGAAAAAACAGAGCACTGCTGTTCACCAATAATAAACACTTTGCAACTTACAGCTTTGTGGTGCATAAAAAAAATTAAACTGGAAAAAGTTAGATTTCCTACTCATCATTTATTCATTTATTTTATAAAGCTGGTCTTACAACAATGCGAAACATATTTCAAAAATGCTTTAAAAAGTACATGTCAAAACCATTGAAGATTAGCCTCAAAAGTTTACAATTATTTATTAAAGGAAGGGTACATTTTAATTGCAAATACAACACACTCATTCTCTTTCTCTGAAATAGCATTTATTTTCAAGGTTTAGCAGCAAAGTGTTCAAAATAGTCCAGAATATATAATTATGCAGAAGGGAATTAAAAACAAATCTACAAATTGGTCTGAAAACTTGAAGCCCATAAAAACTTTAAGACAGCTAGAACTCTCTGGCATACTAATCTAGGTAAAGAGACAGAACAATACAGTTGAATTTTGATGACTGTATGAAAGAAAACGAACCAACCTGTGTACAGAGCAATGGCACCCACACAGATGTACTCCGGCTCGGCATTAATTTCCTGCTCCAGCTTTTGAAAATAGACAATCTGAGATTCAAATTCAGAAAGCAAGGGGTTTTTTGTAATAACCGTCATAATTGTTTCTTCTTTCTCTTTTTGCCAAATATGATTGTAGCGCTTGAAGCAATCCATAGATGTAATAACTTCCTAGAATACAAATAACAGATTTGTGTTCAGAGGGAAGATGTGGAAATGGCATCACGGTATAAGTGAATGTTGCTCAACTGCTGGTGGTTCCCGTGGATTTATTAAATGTTTAATTAGTGAGGCACCTGGGTGGCTCAGTCAGTTAAGCGTGCGCCTCTTGATTTCAGCTCAGGTCATGATCTCACAGTTCATGAGTTCAAGTCCCGCATTGGGCTCTGTGATGGCAGTGCAGAGCCTGCTTGAGATTCTCTCTACCTCTCTCTCTGCACCTCCCTGCTCGCTCTTCCCCTCTCTCTCTCAAAGTAAATATAA